TTCGGGACACTGGCAACCTCTTCATCGTCAAGTTCTGCGTCAAGACCAAAGCCCTCCTTGACCACGCGGAAGAGGCGCGACATCAAGTCCTCGCCATGCCGTTCATATTGCTGCATGCGCAGTAGGAAACTGTAGTAGAGAGCGGCGTCACTGGGCGATGGACGGTAGTCTTTGATGTACTCATCGTATGCGACGAAGAGAGCGTTTGTGGATCCATCGTGCGAGTCTTGTGCGCGACGAACAATGTCATGGATGGCCTCGGAGACTGCTGCGATGTTATTTTGATTCTGGGTGTAATTCTGTATAGGCGTCCTACCCTCGTTCCGCAAAAGGTCGTCGCTCGTTATAGCCTTTGGATCAGCTCCATTCCGGCTCATGGAGGATAGCATTCGTGTGCGCGACTCGTTCGTCTCCAGCGCGTTCGCGACAACATGGAAGTAACCGGGAGGAATTATCGCAACAGCAACCCAAAAACAACATGCGTGAAAGTCGTGAACAAGGCGCGCAACGATGAGGCATCAGGAGATCAAAGTAAAAAGAGATGTTGTTGTGCGCCCGCTTCTGGCGTTGCAGCGACGCGCTTTGTTGTTCGAGTGGTTGGTCGCCCGCGTTCGCGAAGCAGCCAACGCCAAGCCTTTAGTTAAGTGGGCCCTCATCGTTGACCTCATCGAGGTGGCAGTTCGCCATGTTTAGAGAAACATCACAAATCTTGACGTGGCGCGCTTCCTTGGTACCTTTCTGCGAGTCCAAGCGAGACAAGATACAAAATATTCGTCACAATGCCCGGCCGAACACGTCCCATCGACAAACTCGCCACAGCGGCAGCAAAATGCTCCAAAGAGGCATGTTAAGCCCCTCGATGTGACCAGTCACGCTTGACACTGCCCTAACGCAATGCAGAGCTCGGTATACGGCAAATGCATATTTGCAGACTACAACAACGTGCGAAAAGACATGTGCGTCAGTGAGTTTATGAAGTTGAAGGAGTGTTATTTGGTAAGTCTCATCTCTCAAAGTATACAAAGGCATCGACGGCTAAATCCATAACAGAAGGCGTACAAGCAACGGTAGTAGCCATGGCAGGAGCTTTGTTTTGACACGTAAGGCATATAGAGGCGTTTTGACATGAACTTCGAAATTTGGTTTTCATTTCTTCAACGATTCATCCCACGCCATCATGCTATCAAATCACATCCAAACGCTATCATAGCTTGATCAATCGCAACATGAAAGTCGCCTTGTGGAGCTCTTGCTCCTCCTCCGCAATGACCTTCTCGTTGCTGTTCTCTGGAATCTTGCCGTCAAGCTCAGTGATGACGTGCTTGTCCACAGGTCTCCGTAGAGCCTTCTCAAATAGTGGACCTTGGTTCTCAAATGCCTTCTCCAACCCTACATTCTCTGGGTCGGATAGCACACGGTACTCCATGCCTACATCATCAGTCGGCACTAATCCGGCCTTCTTGCGGAGATCTTGTACACGGCGAATGACCTCACGCGCGAGACCTTCTTGCTCAAGCTCTGGGTATGAAGCAACGTCGAGCAGAATGAGGACGTCGTTGTCAGTGTTGAACTCTTGGTCCTTGTTGCTAGAATCTTTGGCCAGACCGCGCTTGACCATCAAATCTTCAGCCTCGAGCTTGATACCGTCCACGACAATTTCGCCGCTCTTCAGGTAGTCCTTAATCTCCTGGCTCTTGAGGTTTGGCAGCGCCTTCTTGACCTTGATAGCATCCTTCTTCAGCTTCTTACCAAGAACGGAGAAGTCGGCCGATGCTGAGTATTGGACGTTGTACTTCTCCTCGTCGCTTGACAGTACCAGATCCCGGACGTTCAACTCCTCCAGAATGTAGTTCTCCAGTGACTTGATGTCATCAAGATATTGCTGTTCTGGGTGGATGACTACCAAAGTCTTCAGCGGGATCTTCAGACCCTTGTTGGCACGGTCTCGGCAGATACGGCCCAGCTCGATGACTGACTGCATGCGCTTAACTTGGCGTTCGACGTCCACGTCAAATAGCTCTTCGCGCACTTCTGGGAAGGGCAAGAAGTGGACACTTCGGTTGTCTTCCACATGCAGTTCCTTGGGTATGTGAGGTTGTAATCGCAGGTAAATGTTGTCTGTGATGAATGGTGTGAAGGGTGCGAGACCGCGGCAGAGTGTGTAAAGAACCTCGAAGAGGGTGTTGAGAGCATGTTTGGTGTCCTCCAGACCGTGCTCACCCTTCAACCGGCGTCGGTTGAAACGAATGTACCAGTTTGTCGTGTTGTCAATGAGCTCCAGTAACCGTGGAACCACGGTGTACAACCTGTATGCAGCCATCTCCTCGTTCACAAACTTCAGTAGCGACTGACAGGACGCGAGGATCCATCGGTCAAGCACGTTCTTGTTGGTCTTGCCAGCCTCCGGGTCGAATACAAAGTCCAGTTCAGCAACCTTCTTCAGCAGTGACACTTGTTGCTCGAAGAACTGGTAGCTGTTCCATAGAGGTAGAAGGACCTTGGAAACAATCTCCTTGACTCCTGCCTCCTTGAATCGTAGTGTCTCGGCGCGAACAACAGGTGAGTTGATAAGATATAATCGCAGCGCATCAGATCCGTAGTTGCTCATAATCAAGTTAGGGTCGGGGTAATTCTTGAGGCGCTTCGACATCTTCTTGCCATCTTCCGCGAGTACGATACCGTTGACGACACAATTCTTGAAAGGCAGCTTGCCAAAAAGATGTGTTCCAAGAACTGTGAGTGTGTAGAACCAACCACGCGTTTGGTCAAGACCTTCCGCAATGAAATCACCTGGGAAGGACTTCTCGAACTGCTCCACATTCTCGAATGGGTAATGCGCACTGGCGTAGGGCATGGAACCGGACTCGAACCAGCAGTCAAAGACCTCCTCTGTTCTTCGCAGTACGCCTTTGCCCTCTTTGCTGGGGATAGTGATGTGGTCAATCTTGTCCCGGTGAATATCGGTAAGCTCGCCCTCGTAGCCACTGAGCTCCTTCAGCTCCTCGACGCTGCCAACACAAACCACCTCTTTGCCGTCGTCGCTGACCCACAGCGGGAGCGGCGTGCCCCAGAAACGGTTTCGTGACACAGCCCAATCGGGAGAGTTTGTGATCCAGTTGGCGAAGCGCTTCTCCTTGACGAAGGAAGGAACCCAGTGCGAACCAGCAATGTTCTCCAGCATCTGAGGCACAATATCCTGAATCTTGACGAACCATGATGGGACAGTTCGGTAGATGAGAGGTGTGTCGGATCGCCAACAGAAGGGATAGCTATGGAGAAGCTGTGAGTCCACAATCAAGCGACCGGTGCCCTTCAGATGCTTGATAATGCCCTTGTCTGCTGCCTTGACATGCTGTCCCTCGAAATCGCGGACAACTGAAGTAAAGCGACCCTGGTCGTCGACTGGGTTTGGTGGTGGTCGGGTGTCAGAGATGACACCATGGGCCTTGGCAACGCGGTAATCGTCCTCTCCGTATGCGGGTGCCTGGTGGACAATGCCTACACCACTGTCTGCTGTGACGTAGGTATCGTTGGCAACCTTGAAGCCGTAGTCTTTGAAGTCGTCGTAGAGGTAGTCGAACAGTGGCTCGTATTTCCAGCCCAACATGTCCTTGCCCTTGAGCTTCTCGACAATCTTGAACTTGGCCTTCTTGGGGTCCTTGTAAAGTGTGCGTAGTAGTGCCTCGAGCAGGATGTAGTGTTTTCCGGATGCTTCGTCGAGAATCTTGACGTATTCAAAATCAGGATGCGCGCAGAGGCCGGTGTTTGAAGGCAGTGTCCATGGAGTTGTGGTCCTAGTCAGGCCGGGTCAGCGCATGTCAGTCAGATTATGTTGGGCTGAGCGACTTACCATGCCAGCAAACATGTGTTTGGGTCGTCCAAAAGCGGGAATGTGACGACAACTGCGGGATCTTGAACGTCCTTGTAGTTTTGTGTGGCCTCAAAGTTGCTGAGAGGCGTGGCCAATGCAGTGCTGTATGGCATAACCTTGTAACCCTTGTACACAGCGCCCTTGTCGAACAGGCGCTTGAAAACCCACCATTCTGACTCCATGAAGCTGGTGTCCATGGTCTTGTAGTCGTTGTCGAAGTCGATCCAGCGGCCCAGACGGTCAATGGTCGACCTCCATTCTGTTGAATACCGCATGACAATCGCCCGGCACTTCTTGTTGTACTCGGCGATTCCGATCTCCTTGACAGCGTCGCGTCCCGACATGCCCAGTTCCTTGTCAATCTCATACTCAATGGGCACACCGTGAGTATCCCAGCCGAAGCGTCGCTCAACATAGCGGCCCTTCATGGTCCAGTAGCGGGGAATGATGTCTTTGATGGTCGAGGCCAGAAGATGGCCATAATGCGGCAATCCCGTCGCGAAAGGCGGTCCATCGTAGAAAGTGTATGGCTGCTTTCCTTTCGACTATAATGCATCAGTAAGTGTCGACCACACGTGCTTGCCCCGAAGAGGCTGTAATATGGAAACTCACGAGCTCAACCTGCCTCAGGAAGGCGTCAATCTCCTTCCAGCGCGCGAGGATGCGCTCCTCCTCCCTCGGAAACTCAATAGACATGGTGGCGGCGTGAGGTTGCTGAGAGTCGGCCGTGGCGGGGAATCTTTTTCTAGAGCCCTGGAGTTGACTCCTCCGGTCCCCGCCATTAGCGTGACTCAGCCCTACTATCGATACCACCCCACCAAACCAAGACGAGACTCTCTCCAGCCATCTCAAGCCAGCCCATTCATCCGCGCACTCGCTAAGAATCACGTCTGGGTTACCTTGACTACCATGTCTGCTGCTTTCGTCGTAACTAGAAACGTCAGAGCATACTCGCCATGAAACGTCGCATGGCTAGGAAGTCCTTATGGCTCTGCGGCATCCGAGCATGAATTGAAACATTGACCGCTCTAGTCGATTATGAAGCAAGATACCAAGCCAACGTGGCAGCCGCCAAATCTCACTTTCTACTGGGCATCTTCATCACATACTTACTTACTTTCGGTTGGCGATGCAGTTTCCCATTCTGCTCGCGGGTCTTTTCCTTGCATTTATCACTACATCAACCGCCTGGACTACTAATCCATCTCTTAAGCTTTGGCGAGGTGGCGATACCTTCAACACTACCAGGCAAATCGAAATCGACAAGATATGTAGACGCCTACGTACATTGACAAAACTCAATGATATCGCGAAAAATGACACCGCGCTGGACGCGACGAGCATATCTGCCAAGCTTGCTCAAGAGCGCATCGACTGGATCAAAAGCAACCGTGCCGATATAACCGCCAAGCTCGAAGAATTGCAATCTAACTCAACTCTCACAGCCGAATGTGACTCTCTCGATGCGCAGCGTGACGCTTTTCGCGAATGCCAGGCGTTAAACACGTTGGAGAAGCTGGTAAACTCGACAAATGGTCAGACTGGTTTCAACCAAGGACCCACTGCGAACTTCCTCAACGACGAACAGAAGCAGGGGTTACAACAAAAGTTTGAAAAGGCGTTGTTGAAGCTACAGGAGCTTAAGGCTAACGCTACGCTGATGGGTCTCTGTGACAGCCATGCCGTGTTGCAGCAGAACGGCGCAATCGGCAGTCGTAAGTACTCTCCCAAATTTGCGTGTTCCGATGTGTTGACATGCGAGTAGAAGTGGTGGACAACAGCGGCGCTATCAGTATGACGAAGAGCGCTGCAAGTAGCCATGTACACAACACCGAGAGAGTGTTTTCATCGTTATTTTTGGTGGTTCCCATAGTCGTGTTGACAACCTAGACCTTTCTGTTGACTGACTCCGGACGACATATCGATAGCTACTTTCACCTGACAATACTCCACAGATACTTGATTAATACTCATAGAGGCTCTGTTAGGATGATATCGCGAATTTTTGCCGTTCAAGAGATCCCTTTACAGGCTACAGTCCCCTCTACAGCTACAGATATACCGCTCAGCTGTCACGGTCATGCCTACTTAACCTTAAGCGTGAAAAACACCATTACCAGAGATTATCCGTATTGTCTGAATCATGCTTACTCGAGCTCGATTGAATAACCTACTTCTTACGCTACCGCCTACAGCTGATACTACACTCCCATCAGTCGATGCCCGATTGAGCTGGCGACATCTTTCCACCTTCACTACGCGAATCACCCAACTGTCAACACGCGTCGCCTTGCCTCATGCTTTCTTCGCTGCTCAGCTATCTACCTCCAACTACAACCTCTTTGTCGAGCCTCTTATGCACTAAATTATTGTTGGGAAATAAGCTGACCCTGAAAAATGCAGTTCATAGCAGCAGAACAACGTTTACCACACTAGGAAACACGAGAGGGCTATAACGGCCGCCCCGAAGGTCGTTGCACAAAGTTTTCGGATCCTTCTTGGATGCTCAAGCACGTTCGAAAAGGACAACAGCGCATTCACCCGATCGCAATATTCGACGTGCAATCTTCCTCCCCCGCTGTCACCGGCAACGAGCCCTACGATCTTCTTTGCAGTTATAGCTGGAAGAGTGCTCTGAAGCCCACCATTTACGTCTCGGGGACTCCGTCTCTTTATCAGCCTCCGCGTCTACCAAGGCAGCTACAGGCCGACAAGGGCGCATTCTGGATCGATCAACATGGCAAGCTGAGTCTTGAATACTCATTCGAACCAATATTCCAAGCCGTGGCTGTCATGAATCCTACCAAACACTAAGAAGCGTGAAGCGAGTGAGCAATGCTGGTTCGGCCGTACATCGCTTTGCGTCTTTGGTCACCACTACCGCAATCTCATAGCAGACGTTGAGGAGGTACGTTGATTTGAGAAAGACTTCGAGATATGGTCACAGGACCGCTAGCGGCAGCTCAAGCGACTAGTATGGCTGCTGGAGGGACTGAGACGCGTGGTGCAAGGGGCACCGGGAAAAAAGGCTATGCTTGTAGCGGTAGAGAAGGGTGCGCCGCTGCATATCTTCGAGATGGAGGGTGAGAAGGGTCTGCTTCCGAGGGAGATTATCGAGAGATTCTGAGATGATGTGAGTCTTTGAGTGATGGAAGAAGATGGTTAAGACGACCCACAGCACCAGTCGGATGCATGCAAGCTAGTGTGGAATGTGCACCTGCCGCACGGAAATGTGCTCGGCGTCTACACCGAACCCCGCAATACTGTACCATGTTGCGCAGCACGATTTACCCGATATATAGATGCAATAGCAGGGGTCCGTCTGGGGATAATTACCCAGTTCAGTCGATTCCAAGAGATGCCCTGTATAGCAAACTGTGCAAACCTTCCGTTCGCTATAGCTCCCTTTACCAGGAAATGTAGCAGAAACTTCATATCTTGATATGGCTGCTATTTCTCCTTCATCCAGAGTGCTACTACTGCAGAGATATCGAGGTGCCCGAGGGAGATCATTCACCCTTGTGGGCACTGAAGGTAGAAAGAATATCTCCGCAAGCCACGCCCCGCACCTTGCTGAAGGCGGCTCGTTAATGCACGGCTGTTCCTTCCCACGGAACATAAAGACTGCCTGTGGCTAAATCTCTACTATGAGCACTTGCCAAGTCATCTAATCACTTCATCGCCAATATGTTCCCTTCGTTCTGGGCGCTGATCGTCTCGTACCTTGCGTTGGCCCAAGTCGCTATCGCGTCGTCAGCGTTTGAGAAGAAATGTCTCGCCTTCACACCAACAAAGTACATCAAGGATGCCACTCTGAACGTCCTCCAACACGTTCCGGCGGGTACCAACCTGACGTTTCCGGATAACGACGTGACATGCGGTCGAACTAGCCAGATCGTCTCCGGAGATCTCTGTCGTATGACACTTGAGATCAAGACATCCAGAATCTCGAAAATTGCTTTTGAAGCATGGTTTCCGGAAGACTGGTCCGGTCGCTTCCTGGCAACAGGTAATGGAGGTATCGATGGCTGTAAGTGTTGGATAAACAGAAGAATGAGTACTAGCTGTACCTGATGCTGACGCCAACAAAAGGCATCAAGTATGAGGATATAGCGTATGGGGCTTCGAGAAACTTTGCCACCGTCGGTGCAAACAATGGTCATAATGGTACTACAGGAGTCGCATTTCTCGACAATCCTGAGATGGTGGTGGATTTCGCCTGGCGATCGTAAGCATAGTTCCTCCTTAGCTCGAAACATCTACTCACCCGCGATCTAGACTGCACACCAGCGTAGTTACCGGCAAGGCCTTGTCCAAGGAGTTCTACGGGGAGGATTTCACCAAATCTTACTACTTAGGCTGCTCTCTTGGTGGACGCCAAGGCATTAAGAGCGCAGAGAAGTTCCCCAATGACTTTGATGGCATCGTCGCCGGAGCACCAGGCGTCGACTTCAACAATCTGATATCCTGGCGCGCACGCTTCTTCACAATCACCGGCCCCATCAAAGGCTCCAACTTCATTCCAAAGACCGCTTGGCAGACGTGGATCCACGACGAGGTGCTGCGCCAATGTGATACCATTGACAAAGTCAAAGATGGCATCATTGAAGACCCGGCCTTGTGCAAGTTCGATCCTTCGACGCTGTTATGTGGCCGCAACTCTATGGTTGAATGCCTGAACGAGAACCAAGTCCAACAGCTGAAGACCATCTTCAGTGACTACAGATTTCCGGATGGACAGCTGATCTACCCTGCCATGCAACCAGGCAGTGAGATCAATGCCGTAGACAAATTATACGCAGGCGCTCCATTCGCCTACTCGGACGACTGGTTCAAGTACGTCGTATACAATGATCCGACCTGGAACGCATCGGAGTATGGTCTAGATGACGCACGTGCAGCCCAAGATCTGAATCCAGGCGACATCCGCACCTATCCATCGTCTTTGCCGGGATTCAAGCAAAGCGGTGGAAAGCTGCTCATGTACCACGGGCAGCAGGATAACCAGATCACCTCTTTCAATACCAACCGCTTCTACGAGCATCTCCGCGGTAACAGCAGTTACGAAAACATGGATGAATGGACGCGTTTCTTCCGTGTCTCGGGTATGTTCCATTGCAGTACTGGTCCTGGTGCGTGGGTGCTGGGTCAAGGTGGGAACGCGGCGCAAGCTGGTATTCCATTCGATGCGCAGCACAACGTTCTTGCGGCGATGGTCGATTGGGTAGAGGGGGGTAGTGCACCGGAGTATATAGAGGGGACGAAGTTCGTGAATGATACTGTGAAGAATGGGGTGGATTTTATGAGGAGACACTGCAAGTATCCAGCCAGAAATACGTTTCTTGGGGGAGATCATAAGAAGCCTGAGAGCTGGGGGTGCATGTCCTAGGGTGGTAAGCTGAACTGCATGTTTAGTTTCGTCGGTAGCCACAACAATTAATTTCGTCCCGGCTCGAAAGAGCTTGTCAGTCTCACGATGCTGTTGAGGTATGGTTGAGGGAACTGGTAAGAGTGTTAGGACCAAGATGTGGATACCGCAGCAACTATTCTCTTTGCGACCCCAAGACTTTTCAAGAACAAAATCCATGTAAGACATTCCATGGCTCGATCCTAGGAAGTGCAACCTGGCTTTACAGGCGTGGCTGACGGAGATCAACAAATGCATGTTTTGGAACCGACCCAGCACAAGAACCGCTAACACTGGCCTCGTAGCTGCTATCGGCTTCAGATGCTGTGGGAGGTTCGTCCATGTTCCAGGCAATGAAGTTTGCTTATCGATGAGGCGGGAAGTGGGCAAAGGCTGAAGAGAAAGGCGGAAGAAGGCGCTCACCTTTCTCTTAAGGAACGGCCTGTTCACTACCCTGGACCGATTGGCTGCGGTACGCTTACACCGATTTGCGCAAAGTGCAACTGGTTGCATCATGTTGAGGACCCAGGAAAGCGTCACGAGTAAGTCCGATTGATCGACCACTAAGACACCAGAACTTAACGCGATTGCCATGGCACCGGGCCTAAGAGATGAAAGGTCCTTATTACATATATCTAAGGCGCAGCCGCGCACCCATCATAACCGGTATACTCAATAGTTCTACAAACTCATCCAAATCCCTAATGTCTATTCCATAACACCATCGCAATGCCCATTTGAGTAACGACATGAAATCTTACAGCCTAACCCTCCCCTCATCCCCCCTCCCACCAAACAGACTCAAAAACCCACTTCCACGATCCCCGTCACCTCGATCCAACGGTCTTCTACTACCACGTCCAGCCTCGGCTTCTCCCTCGTCGCCACCCAGCCACTTCGGTCGGGGGAAGGAGAAGTCGTTGGTGTCGAAAGTGTTTTTGACTCTTGAAGCGAAGTTTTCGAAGAAGTTACCTTCATCTTCTTCGTCTTCGAGTGCAGGCCGTCGGCGGTCGGGATGGGTTGTTGAGAGGCGTGTGGTGCTTGGGCCGCCGTTTGCCGCTGCTGCGGTCGTGGTGAGGAGGCTAGATGACGACGAGGGTGCTGGTGTGTCTGTGTATCGTTCGTTTGGCGGACTAGTATTGGTTCGTTGAGAAAGGCCTAGGACGTTTCCACTTGCACCTTGAATTTCGCGTTCAATCAATGCACGACCTTCGCGCCATGAGCCGGTGCCAGCGTAGTTTCCTGATGCGTCCTCTTCATCGTCGAGTAGATCTCCGAAACCACAGATGTTCTTCACCTTGCCGTAGAGCCCGAAAGCTGTAGCGAAGACGGGTACGAGGATGAAGATGGGGAAGAATGCGCTGAAGCCTTCACCGAGTGGTGTGAGAACGATAAGCCGGCCAAGGAACTTGTAGAACATGGTACCCTTCCAGATGTTCTTGTCCGTCATGGTAAGGAAATTGTAGCTCAAAGGAACGGTCAGCTTGGCGACCTGGAGACCGTACCAGGTCGCAGACTCTTGATATGTGTTTCTTCGCACGAGCGCCCTGTTGCCCCATATCTTGACCTCGGTTAGACTATAAAAGGCGCAAATGCACATGTAGCATAGCCAGGCAGCAGCGATTATCTGGCTGTTGAAGCCGACCGACGATCGGCCATTGTCGTGGCGGTGTACGACAGTCCAGCCGATGATAGAGAGTTTCGGCCCACCAAAGTCCTGGGCTTCGCGCACGCATTCCGACCAGACGATGGATATGGATGCGAGGATTGTGATGGCCCAGGAGACGTAGGCCAGAGCGGGGATGACGTGGACGTGCAGGTGGTAGCGGGTGAAAGGTGTGAGAATGGTGATGCGATCGAACAATCCTCTTGAGGCTGGCAACGCGACGCCTTTGAACTCAAGATGTTTGCTGGCTTTGGAATCGAGGATAGCCTGCGTCCTGACAGCTTTTTGTACAACACGGTCCCATTCGTTCTCGAATCGGCATTTTGCATGGCGCGCCCGCTTCAACTTCCTCGTCAGGTCCGCCAGGTATCTTTCAGTGATGATGGGAGGCACTGTCGCTGTGCTCACTCGTCCAACAACACCAGCCCTGTTCTCCGGAAGATTGCCCTTGTCTGCCAACTCATCAATCCACTCTTGAAACTCGCGCGCAGTACCATTCTTCCTTTGCTTGAGCTGCACAACCTGGTATTCATACTGATCCAGTTTCTCCAATGCCTCAGTCAACTTGTCGTGAACCTTGGGCGCCTGACTTTGTATCCTCTTCAATCTCTCGCTAACACTGGCGTACCGGAACAAACTCCTGGGGAAGGCGACGAGTCCATGACCCATAAGGTAGATGCCCAGTATCAGACCCCAGGTATACGCCAGCGCCATGACCAAGCTCTTGAAAGTATCCACGTGGAAGCCGTTCCACAGAAGCAAGTATATCGAACCTACGATGCTACACCCAGCCACAATGAGCCAATACCGGCCGTTGCTCCTGAGCGCATACTGCAATCTTGCCTTGGGCTCTCTATACCCACTATCGCAGTACTCGCCTAGCATAGGCAAGATGGCCCACGTAAGCGCAAACGTGAGCCAGTATATGATGCGCCATGCCTTGTACACCACCGTGTCGTTCAGCCATATGCCTCTGGCGCCATCCGTTGTGTCGAGTCCAGCACTACTCGCGAGATCGATGGGCAGGAGCACGACGATGCTGGCCGGCAGCGCTATCGCCAAGAAGACGGGTACGACGACGTATGCGGGTGTTGTGCGAAGCGGGAGATAGTAGCGTAGGAGGAGCAGAACGGCGCCGCATATGGACAGTAGGGAGAGGATGAAGAAGGCGGTTGATCCGGCCGCCGAGGACGTCATCGTGGAGTGTGGTGCGACGTGCGCATAAGAAGCGCAGGTTTACAGCTAGTTGATTGATGGTGGGTGTGTGGTGAGAGTGAATGGACGCCTTGGGATGGCGGGAACCAAAGATAGTCTGACAGTTGTTGCGACAGCGTGGAAGCGTCGGAACGCTCAATCTCGGAATGCGGAAGGTACGCGACCCGTTGTGCTTTCCTGATTCTGCTTCTTCTTACCTCTGCACTATCATCTCTTCATCTATACCATGTCATAATTTCCTTCCCATTTTCAGATTAACAGCTGTCTGCTTGGCATCAAAGACGCCGAAACATGTGTGCAAGCTAGGTCCCTACATTCGTCCGCGTCGCATTCCAGCCGCACGCGTCATGGCCAAAGCCGCGCCTCTGGCCCCTGTCCCTTTTTAGCCTCTTTGTAATCACATCACATCGCCGATCCATCTCCGACGTCAGTTAGCGCAGCCGTCTTTCACGAGCGATTGCATCATTTGCCATCGAGAACGTTTACTACTGCGGGGGGCACGCTGCACATCACTAATCACCACTTCTATACACATCCACACCGAGCTCATAAACGCACACCGAGCTAGAATCCATCTGACAAACTTCGGCATCCCATCACCCCCGCATAAGTACGCCTCCCACCACCCCTCCAGCAACACTACCCTCGACTACCAAACACAATACTAACCAACCTCCAGCACCTCCAAACTACCGCCAAAATTTCCTTCCTGCGTCACTTCTTCACGCGCGCCCCCTCGCCCGCCACAATGTCCGCTACAAAGACCAAGGTCCAATCCATCATCGACGAGAACCCCGTCGCCGTCTTCTCAAAGTCTTACTGCCCTTACTGTCGCCAGGCCAAGCAGTTGCTCAGTGACAGTGGCGCAAAGTTCTACGCGATTGAGTTGGACCAAGTTGGTATGTAGACTCTGCAACTATCGACGCAGCTACAAGACTAGCAGCTAACACGCGCATAGATGACGGCTCAGCTATCCAGTCTACTCTTGGCGAAATGACTGGCCAGACCACCGTACCCAACATCTTCATCGCCCAGAAGCACATTGGTGGAAACAGTGATTTGCAGTCCAAGAAGGGTCAGCTCAACAACCTTCTCAAAGAGGCTGGTGCCGTTTGACTACCTGCAACCTTAACGGCCAAGCTATAGCTATTACACCATGGCATAATGCGAATCAACATAAATCATCAACGTCACTCATCTTGTGCACTCAATACTAGTGATAACGCCAAAGTATGCATTGCGAATCTGTCAGGAATGATTCTAACTGGGTAATCTTTGTGGTTTATTGCCAGTGAGCCCAACTACTAGCCCACTCAACTCTCATAAAACAAAGCTTGGAACTACACCTACAGGGCTTTCGGCTTACGCTGTTTTCTCACCGCCATGCCCTTCTTTGCAGCCGTTCCATATCATTAACCATCGTTGATGCTATTCATGATGTCATTCTGCACATTCAAGAACACGGACGAAGCTGGATCTTCTAAGTCTGCATCGCATCCGTGAAACTTTGTGCGGCCGTCGTCGCAAAGTATCGTACATCTACATCGTCGTCTTGCTGAAGCTTCTCGAGGTTCGGCAGGATGCTCTTGGTAATGACATCTGTAGCCTTCTGGCAACCCTGGCCTGGTGTACCAGCCTTCTCGAGAGCGATGACAGTACCTTGCTCAGGCAGCTGCTTGAGCGTGTTGATGAGCTGACCATAAGACTTCGCCACGTTGAATCTGATGTTGGGGATATCGTCGTTGACCAGCTTGTCCATCATGGGGATGATGGACTGTTCAATGACATCCAGACTCAGTGCGGGCGCCAGTGTTGAGACGGCGAAGCATGTAGTCATTCGGTAGAGGTAGTTGGGGTGCTGGCCCATAGCCATGACCTTGGGAACGATAGCATCGTTGGCCCACTCTACACCGAAGACCTCCGTAAGCTTCTTCAAGTTCTGAGTCGACGCCTCACGGATCGAGAAGACTGTATCGCCGAGCCAGCTCATGCATAGGCTGCTAAGCTTCTCATCGAAGAACTGCACACCGAGTTGTGACGCGAGGAGAGGAACGTATTCGATGATTGCCAGGCGTACGCGCCATTGCTTGTCCTCGGCAAGTTGGACGATAGCGGGGAGGAGGGACTGCGAGAGGAGCTCGATGCCGATGACGTTGTTGACAGATTCGAGCTTGGAGATGATGTTTAGGCGAACGTCGGGGAATTCGTCCTTGAGCATCTGCAGGAACATGGGAAGGAGATGCGAAATGGTCCTGACTAGTGTTAGTAAGAAAGCACGTGGTCACGCGTAGTCGCAACTTACTCTTCCTTTCCAAGGATTGGAGCGAGTCCACTAATCTGGGTGCCAAGCGCAGCGCGAACATGCTGAGACTGATCGGAGACCAGCTCCTCTATGCTAGGCATAACCTCGTGTAGAAGGGTCTCACGCTCCAACAGCGCGCAGAAACCTAGTAGTGGTTAGCTCATGCGCCGTGCACTTGCTCCCAAGAGGCATACCTGGAATTTGTCCTGCAATGGCGCTGCGTACCTCGGCCTCTGTATCCTTGAGAAGCTTGACAAAGGCTGGCACAAGGTCGCGGTTGACAACTTCCTCGTCGACGGCTTTCGCAATCTAATTCCATTAGCGCATGCTTCCTTTCGCTACCAGCCGAACGCACCTTCTCAAATCGGTCTGCTACCATATACCGCACCCTCCAGCTCTTGTCCTCGAACAGACTCCGCAGCGCAGTCAGGAGAACACCATGGCTCGACTGTTGCTCCTTGGGTACCGCTTCGGCGATCGCGATGAGGATGTCGACAGTCAGGAGTCGGACACTGTCCTGGTCGTCTGCGGCGAGGTGCTGGAAGAGGGGAATCATCTCTTCGATGACAATGGACGGCGGCATGGCCTTGATGAACTTGGCGAGGTTGTTTGCCGCCTGTCTCCGTACCATGGGGGTATCATCGTGCACTAGCTGGCCGTAGTGCTGCCTGAGGGCTTCTTGTGAAGGGGGTGTAGCGCGAGTGTAGGGGGTCTGATAGAGTCCCGTCGCGGAGATCTTTGAGGTGAACCAGTCGGCTTTAGATAGGCGCAAGACGAGGGGTATGAAGTTTTCTTCAATCTGCTGCTGCGACAGCTCTTCGCAGATCTTGTTGAGCGATTCGACAGCCTGCACGTGTTAGCTGGCAGCCAAATCTAGGCGATTGCAGCGCACACCTTTTCCCGGACAAGGGGCTCTTCTATTGCTGCAAGGTTCTCGAGAGGCGACAGAAGCACGTGTGCATGCTCTGGGCCGCCGACGTACTCGACAAACTTGCCAAGTTCCTCGCTCAATGCTGTGAGAACCTCGTCCTCGTCCTCAACCGACTCTGAATACATCCGTTAGCTAGTCTAGACTGGGCATGTCGACCAGGCAGCCGCTCACCATCTAGAAACGGTATGAGTTCCTCTCGTGTCCGCTCGGCGCCTAGGGCGAGAGCAATTGTGTTTAGTCGGTGGATGGCGTTCAGGCGGAGGATAACGTCGTCGTGCTTGAGCTCGTCGATGAGCACGGCGATGGGGTAAAGCTCGTCATTTTGATTCGCATCCATGGTTCAGGGTCTGGGGGAAGTTAAGTCTATGAGTGCGCGGTAGGGAGCTTAAAACGCGGGCGTGGTGTTGACGTACCTGGGCAGTTGGAGAGGAAGCGAAGAGGGGTGTCAGGGCGCTGAAGGGCCAGTCCGAGCTTTTCGAGCCACAGGCAGGCACCACCGACGCGCCACGCTCGCAGGATGGGGGTATTGCAGAAGAGATGGGGAACAGTGCTTGGAAGAAATTTACCCTCGAGTGCTCTGAACGATGTTCGGTCTATCATCTGTCATATCTGTCGTTGTCGTACTCGGTTCTCCCTAATGTGCTCTCTTGCTGCGCCACACCTGAGGCTAGTGCAGACGCCACATCCACTAGGGAAAGCACGATATGACGACTACAGAAGTTTCAGTAACGTCAACCGGATTTGTGCAAGGCCCACTTGGTCATCTCCTACATCTAACCCATCGGATCTCACCTGTAAGCAGAGAGCCGCATGGCGCGTGCTTGATGTCTTGTGACATGGTCTAGCGTCTTCCGCCCGCCAAGGTCGTAAAAAAGGACCGTTCCTACCCAGCAGCAAGAAAATCCACTACTGTGTAGCCTCAACACCTTCGAGACGGAAACCGTGGTTGTAGTGCAATGGACGACATGCACGGCTCCAGCCGCCCTGGGAGCCAAGACGCTCCCAAGTTGAACACAACCGAGTCGGAACGGGAACCACTGCTTGCACGGCGCTCTTCGTCTTCATCACGCGCGGTACAGCAGCTATCCAAGCAGCTCACTACGCGACATGCATTTGCCGTTCTTGTTACACTTCAAATCGGGTCGGGAATCTTCGCTTCACCAGCGCAGGTTGACAGCAACGTGCCTTCTCCAGGAACTGCTCTCCTAGTTTGGGTCCTTGGCGGGCTGCTATCATGGGCAGGAGCAGCATCGTTTGCTGAGCTTGGTGCTGCGCTTCCACTAAATGGTGGTATGCAGGAATACCTACGCCACATCTACGGTGACACGGCTGCCTTCCTCATGGCCTGGGTGTACATCCTCGGCGTGAAACCTTCATCCATGGCCATCCAAAGTATCGTCATCGCCGAATCCATAGGATCAGTCACATCCAGTACCGGCGACTTACCAGATGCCAAAATGCTCAAACTCATCGCTACCATAGCTTTTGTGTCCATGGTGCTACTCAATTCCATTAATACCAGGTTCACAATGCGGCTGAGCGAGTCTTTCACGGTGTTCAAGCTATCGACCGTGGCCCTGATAGTCTTAGGTGGGGTCGTTGCTGTAGCCGCACATCTGATCAACCCAAACTCTTCGTTATCTGGACCGAGCGACTGGTACACTCGCAATTGGTTTCAGACAAGGTCGACAGTATCGGACGGCCAAACTATCGACTGGGTGTCAATGAGGACATGGGATCGTTACGGTCACTATTGCGCAGCGATATATGGAGGACTTTGGGCGTATGACGGATGGGATAATGTAAGTGCATACTTCTTGTGCTCCAACAATGCCGGCTGACAGCATTGTCCAGGCCAACATCGTTGCGAGTGAAATCCGCGACCCAGGTCGTGCTCTTCCAAAAGCGATCAAAGCTGCGATGATCGTAGTACTCAGTTCATTTGAACTTGTGAACGTGGCTTACTACATCCTTGTACCTTGGGACAAGCTAAGCAGCAACAACGCAGTGGCAGTCGCTGCTGCTTCATCCCTCTTAGGGAGGCCTGCTGGTATTCTAGTTACTATTCTTGTTGCCATCTCCTGCGCAGGATCCATCACTAGTAATGTCTTCGCAGTGGGCAGACTGACGATGGCTGCATCGCAACGCCATTATCTTCCGGCAGTATTCAGCAAGCGAGGGCTGCCAATGACGCAGAGGTCTGAGGCAGACACGACCGCTTCATTCAGCCTCGACGCTCCCATGTAAGCCCTTTTGATTTATTGCATTCTACAACTGACTAACGCGGAAACAGTTACGCTAACGCTTTGGCCTTGGTCGTAACCCTTGTCTATATCCTGACAGGTAGTTTTCGGGCACTCTTGACGTTCGTTGGTATGGCTGAATGGGTCTTCTACGTTAGCACGGTAGTTGGACTGCTTGTACTCCGCCGCCAAGAACCCCAGATGGAACGGCCTTACCGCCCACTCATTATCCTTCCCATCATCTTCGTCATCGTCGGCACTTTGGTAATTATACGATCTGCACTGTTCGCGCCAGTACAGAGTGGAGTCTTGGTAGGACTTCTTCTAGTTGGCGCTCTGATTAGCATGTTACGAAGTAGAGCGAGCTCATGACGATCGATCGATGAATCTGGCAGCGGCGAAGGACGCGCCTGCAGCATTTTATTCCGAGTTCTCGACTGCATTGAACGGTGAACTGCCTGCAATCTGGTTTCTTCAAGCTCTAGATCTCCAAGTATAGCCGAGGCAATCTGTCTAACTTAGACAGTGGCGACGTACTGAAATCGACTGAACCACCATCGCTAGTAATACGGCTAAGGTGGATGTGGAGCTTACCTATGGAGCCGATGCGCTAAGCAAGGTTCAATCACCTAGCCCGATGGCAGGCTACTTTCCCCGCAACTTAATTTCGACCTCGCTGCCGGCATCGACGTTTTATCGTTACCACGACCTTCCATGCTCACTATGGTGATCCTGTCCGTTCTTGCCAATCGCCTATCTGCAATACACCCGGTGCTACACCCCGTCACGTTGGTAACACTACCGCAAGTTGCCCGGGCACTGGGTTATGTAGCTTGCCCAATCAGATCTATATGGCTAATAAAATGTCCATATCCATACCATGGCTAACCTCCGTCTTTTCCGGATATCAGCACTATGACGACGAAGCAACATGGCCACTATATACAGTATCTCGTAACGAGACACAATCTTCGGGCATCTGCGAGGCAAAAGCACACGACGGTCTGACATTCGGTCCGTGATAGCAAGCCACATTGTACCTTACAGGATGACTGCGAGGCCCTAAGATCAAATTCTAGAGCGTTTCTGGATTTTGGGGGACCTCTAAGTTGTTTGACATACATACGGTGTGTGTTCTTACACAACCTGTGAAAAAGTGCTGTACGATGAGGAAGGACTGAGATCACGCACCGCTTTGAAGCAGAGTCCTCTTCCAACCAACGGGGTCACATGTGCCAAGGCCGTGAATTGCAGTCTTGGTTGTGTACACGTACTAGTCATTGAATCATTGATGCGGGCGTGCGGTTATTGTTAAAGGCTTTGCGATATCCATGCAAACACTTGAACAGTTGAATGCATTGGTTCCTTGCGAGCCACACTATTAGCTTTCTGTAGAGCATCAATCTCGATTCAAGGTACTCAGTAGCTTCAGCGAGCAATTTGCTTTGGAGTTGCGGCGAAGCCCCTGGACATCGCGTAGATGCACGTCTTGCAGCACATGCAACAATGTCTGGCTATTCCAAGGTCAGATCGAGAAATCGCATACCTACATGGGCCACTGGGTAAACAACCTTTATCGAATTTATTCAGGAATGGAATTTCTCACCAATGGTATTGAATGAGACCAGTGTTTTGTTATTACTCCGCAGACGGTTCTGGGTTGCGACGAGCCGAGATGGGACTCGGGTTGTCGTACAGCGTCATGCTGCGTCTAAACGATGTACATACCACGTTCGATGAACTAGGGACGAAAACAACCGCAATATAGGATACGGGAAAACGGAAAGAGAGACTCCACGGGACTAGTAGACCGCCAAGCGACGATGAAGTATGTCGGAGGGCAAAGTATAAAAGAAGGCAGGAGGATGGACTTCAAAATGACTATCATCAACATAAAGCAGCATCTCAGCATTCTACCTTCGCCTCTACCAGCCCTTCATTGTCTACCAGTCAAGAAGAAATCTTCAGTAATAAACATGCGTTACTCCATCCTCGCCTTCGCTGCCGGTGTCGCTGCCGCTCCTTTTGCTTCCACTGGAACTACCGCTCTTTGCCCTGCTGGGCTTTACAGCAACCCCCAGTGCTGTGCCACTGATGTCCTTGGTGCTGTTGGTTTGAACTGCGCAGTCCGTATGTCTTCCTCTCCTATGTCTTTTGTTACATACAAAGATTAGCGCTAACGCTACAAACTAGCTGCCACCACTCCTGCCAACACTAGCGATTTCATCAGCGGCTGCGCTGCCACTGGCCAGCAAGCCAAGTGCTGTGTGATTCCCGTTGCGGGTCAGGACGTTCTGTGTCAGGATGTCAGCCCTGGTGCCGGAGCCCCAGGTGGCGGTGCCCCCACCGCTACTGTCACTGCTACTGCCACAGGTGGTGGTGGTCCCACTCCTACCGCTGGTCCTCCAGCCCCTCCAGCCCCACCCGCTTCCAGCTCCTGTGAGTCTAGCACTGCGCCAGCTCCTACTCCTTCCGACTGTGGCTGTGAGGAGTAGTACAGCGAGATGATGGATGGTGTCAGCCGAGGCATGTAAACATGAAGCCTGGATGGGGGGAGGAGGAATGAAGATACGGGTCAACATATATGTAGTTGTCGTTGAAGTCCATTCAATATGCGGCTGCAGCACCAACCTCCCGTTTTCTGGTGATGAAGTGGTTAAATTGAGTGCAATGATGCCTTTATCTCCTAATCATAGATGAACAGTAGAAGCAAAACCGGATATATGAGCACATTAAACCAACAACCCGACTTACTATAGTGTAGTCTTTCCACATTACCCATCCAATGCAGCAATAGGGTCGTTGTTCGGAACTGTAAATAAAGTGCTCGTCCCGTTGCCTTGACTGAATATTCTTTCATCTTCGAACGTCACCCGCAAGCACCAATTTGAGAAGAAGAGCACAAGGCCACAGTCAGTTCCTGTAACGCTGGCGATGCAGCCATCGTAGGGACTTTTTGCCGCATTGACAACCTTGTGACCTACTCCCAACCTCAAATAGCCAGTACTAATTCTTATGCCGTTCGCCGTGGATATGATGTTATTTAGAACGTATGCTGTGTAGTAGGCTGAGCCAGGGATTTCGATGGTGATGGTGGTGGTTGAGTAGACAGTCGAGATGGATGTGCATGTGGGAATGGAATCCTTAAAAGTACAAGACGTGACGGACCTGGTAGCGGTTGCATCGAGAAGGATGAGATTATATGCCATTGTCGCCGTACTAATGATGGTACTAGTATTGGTTGTCATAGTAGCAGTGATTGTATTGGTCCTTGTTGAAACCACAGTAACGATGTTTCCGCGGTAGATGTTGGCGGTATGTCCTTTGGATCTACCTCTGATAAAGCCTTTGTCCACTTATCCTTTTCTTTGCTTGTTTTGCTTGTTCTCACGAAGTCATACATTGCGAAATAGACAGATACACAGCCAGAAGTTGCTGCATTAGTCGTCGATATCTTGCTGACCAGTGAAACTCTGATGATCAGGGTGGTATCTGTCTCAATTGTGGACACGATACTCATCGTGGTGACATGACTACTGTCAGCAGTGTCTGTGGATGCATTAAATCTGCAACTAGAAGGACGGTTAGATATCTCGAAGCGGTAGGAACCTGGGTCTTTGCAGATTTCCAGTACGTTTTTGGTGGTGTGAATACTAGTAACCAGCGCGAGATCTGCACTCGCGCGTAGCAACAGAAGAATAGCGGCAGCTTCATGGTGACAGGGAATGAATGTGCTCAATGATTCAGGCAAATAAAAAGCGCACCTTCGCAGCTATTAAGATACCCAATCACAAACCTAGTGCCAATACTACTAATGATCCTGATGTCTTACGTGTTCTCGTCTTGCCTCAATGTTCCCGTACCTATCGATACCTGGGTATTTCTTACAGGTCGCCTAGGGTTTGTACGAATTGAGCACCAACTTCAGCAGCCTTGCACACTTTTTCAGTCACCACCTCAAAACTAACACTATTTAGCCAGCCTCATATGGTCTTGGTAGCTTTAGTGTATACCACCGTCTCCGGTGCTTGCGTCTATTGCGACCTTCAGCAGAGAGGGAAGCAAGGGCAGAGCTCGTATCAATAAGTCCACCCTTTGAATACAGTTCTGCCGCTTGGTCCTCAACGGATTTATCAGAATATAATCTAACAAGATCTGTAAATAGGACATATGGGGCTTGTAGTAAACAGGAGATACAGGTCAATGGAAATCGGCAAAGGCATCCACGCCAGTGAGGGGCGGTGCACGGCCCCACAACCTAAGATTGCAAGCACGTCTCCATCGGGTTGGTCGAAAATCGCAGCGGTGGCCCGATTCTCCTGAAGCAAGACAGAAGCTACACGGTTGCCTTTCGCGCAAGTCGCGCGATACAGCTCACGGTTCCGGGATGGGCGAAGAATTGGTTGTGTAAAGTTTCGTCGATACAGTAAATAATATGCGTTCTGCAGTCTGCTACACGGCCATGCTCCAGCGGCAGCCTTCATCACTGCGACCTTACCATTCGCACTATTTCCTCTATCACACCGCTTTATTCGCTTTCTCGGGGTCGCCTATACTTTCTAACACGCTCCCCACGCAACAAGGCTGGAGCGTACCATCGACAAGCGAGCCGTTGGAGCTGTGATGTCATCAAATGTTTCCTTGTCAGCCTCACCAAACCCAACAGCTTAAATATATTGGAGCCGTGCAAGTGCTGGCGAACTTTGTATGCAGACGGCTCGTCTTCTAGAATATTATATGGAATTGTCTGAGCCAGGAGCAGCCTCCGTTGGTGGCTGCTGACGTGAAGATTTGCCTTGTTTTGCCTGCTGTGTGCACTGGTCCTGGCCTTCACGGCCAAGCTGTGATGGGATTAAAGTGGCAGTCGGCACATCCGATTACCATAGGAGGGGATGCCTCCTATCAAGGGGCGGTGGCCAGCTAGTATTTCCATGGTATGTGCCTTGAAACCGCACAACAACCTTCCTTATTGGCCCTGTTCCCGCAAGCAAGGCCCCCGGTTTGCTTCCAAAATAGTGGCAAGCTACTGCAGTAACAAGATGTCGGGAACCGTTGGCAGGGGCCAAAGATCACTGATAGGCTAGGTTCTGGACACGCGTGCATGGGCTGCATCAGCCGCCCCCATTCGGGATACGGAATGGCCACACCTATTAGCAGCAACATGTTCGCGACACCAAAAGCCATCTAGCCAGGTCTCTTTTTACCCTCAGAACTCGGTGACGAGCAGCATCACGTACAACTCGCATCGCCTATCATGTCTGCAGGCCTCGAATTTGCTGCGGGGATATTCGCTATCATTGGCGTTGCTGAAGTTATCGTGCGAACGGGCCGGGAGGTCCATGGTTTCCTGCGCGATATTTCTGGCGCTCCAGAAGAGATTGATCGATTATGCACTACTGTCAAGGAAACCACACTCCTCGCTGAGACCGTCAAACAGATTCTGGAAACGCTCGCTAGCCGGAAACCAGCCAATACCACGGATCGCATCACAGCTCTATTCGAATCTGCACTTAAGAGCTTACAACGTGAACTTCAAAATTTGAGGATACTCAACGCGAGATTCAGAGGTGTGAGCAACAAGACTTGGAGTAGGGTGAAGTACGTTCTGGACGAGCGTAAAGTCAACAAGATGTTCAACAATCTTGAACGGGCGAAGAGTTTACTCGCAAACTCTCTGCACGTCGCAAGCAGGTATATGATTCCTCGCATTGTGAATGAACCTGCGCTCATGGTAGATTTAGGCAAAGATCTGACGACCAACATCTGGAGACTCTAAAGAGACACAACACAACTCAAAAGTTGTTGGCTTCGACTAAGCGGAATCAAGCCACACTGATACAAGGACAAGAGCTTCTGGGGCGTCTGGCAGTCTGCCATTATCAGGAAACAAAACGAGCCTCAAAAGAAATAGGAATTGCTCACCAAGAGCATTTGATCGAGCATCAAAGGACCCGAGACGTACTATCGGCAAAGCTTGAGGATGTCATCGTCACCCAGTTCGAGAAGTACCGCATCTCTCGCGCTAGATCCGTGTCGACTAGAGATATATTCTTCTTTGGTGAACGTCGCGACATGGTCATGGCTTATCTGCTCATTGTCAAACCCCATTTGGAAGTTGCGCTTGCCAATTTGTTCAACGCCGATATCAACACTTTTCCACCACATTACATTTCCTGGCTACAGTCCGAGTACGAGAACCTCATAGCATCAGCAGCGCAGGAGGAAGCGACAAAGCACCCGCAGTCCACTGCAACCTCTCTGGACCGTTGGCATTACTCTGAAGAGACCAAATCGCGCCATCTGACGACACCTCGGCGTGTGATAGGGCAATCCAAAATCAGGTCTACTACACAAGAAGCACATTACGCGAACCTCTACCTCAGCACACCAGCTATCGCTCACAAATCCTCATATACACATACTACTCCGTTCGGCAGTCTGCGTTTACAAACTTCTCGCAGAGCATCCAGATCGAAGCTTCGACGTCCAGATGAGGAGGCTAGCTTCACTTTCACTTGCGGTATCGGGCGGTCACTCCACGCTATTCATGCCCACTTTCTTCGCAACGCTTCCGGTCCATCGAATCCAAGGCTCTGCGCCCAACTCAGTGTCTTTACCTTGGCTGAGTCCGAAACTCACTACAACCAGCTTTTCGCATCTGCTAGTGCTCACGAGATTGATGATGCACTACGACAAGGCGTGATTTCTCCGTATGAGATAAACCGAGAAGGAAGAAATCTATGTCTCTATGTAAATTGTACCCAAATATTCTAATGGAATGACTTAACGCTAACCCACAATGCGTAGTATGCTGCAGAGCACACACGGATAGACCTGTTCGATTACTTGGCAAGTCAAGGTATCGGCGTATCAAACCTGAAGTGAGTCGTCTCTACCATCCTGTAACAACCTTTTCCTAACGTAAAAAAGCCACGATGTTAGCCTAGTCGCAGGTCTCTTCATGCGCTCGATAGTCGATCATGATCGAGTCGCATTCGAGAGAACCGTTGACCACATCATTCCTCAGGTCTACGAGTCGTCTTCATTCCTTTTCGAGACAACAATGAATATGCTGCTTTGGGACTACTATAAAGGCAGATCGCGTTCTCTATTAGGTGAACAGATACAAAGATTGCAGCAAGAGGGTCTCATATCGGAATCAGTGATTCTCAATGATGACCCGTGGGACTGGCCTTCTGTAGCAGGTATCATTGCACCACTCTTCGAAATTGATGCTGCATACGTCAACACAATGGGGAGTCTTGGCCGCAACAGAATCCAGCGTTGTTACTGCGTTATCGATCATGAAGGCAGTCCAGGAGACCCAATGGCTATCGAAGAGATCGCCAACGCGCTGATAAGAGCGGGTATCGATGTACACCATCGCGATCATGATGGTCTGACGCCGAGTATGTACGCTAAACGTTGTGGCGCATGGGATGGATGGTGCAGTGCGCTTGCGAGGAACGGATTGCGCATTGAAGATGTGGTGCGAGAAGAAAAGGCAGAATGGCTTTTAGAAGAAGGATGGAGAGAACATTGGGTGGAAAGGTATGAAGAGATATGGAAGCCTGCTGATCATGGGTCTGTGCTGGCGCAGAAGACGGAGGACGGAGAATAGAAGCCATGATGTCATCACTTTTCCTCGCTCACAACTAGTCGTTGAATCATCCCCGATGCTCAATCCATCATCGTCTGTCTCGATTGCATCTCTCGGATATGACAAAGTCCTGCACTCTCTGTTCAAAACCCCGTGACGTCCTTGTGCGCTGTCAGATCGACGAGTCGCAGAAATGGCATTTCGTCTGCCCTGGTACATGCTGGAAATCAGTTTCTGGTGGCGTTGAGGATGCAAAGGGCATGCAAGAGGAATACCCATATTACCGATATGGCGGAATGGTGAGTTTGTGCAAATGATGTGCGAGAAGGAAAGATGGCTGATCTGGAGTCGTGGGTAGTGGAAAGATAGAAGTGCCGACGGGCCGGTTAGCGCAAAGAAGCCGAAGAAAGTCAAGGAGAGGCAGCAAGAGGAGATGAAGGCGAGGGAGGGAAGCACTCCGATGTCTTCCGGGATAGAGAAGTAAGACTAAGGAAGGGAAGGTAAGCTTCCCGTTGTTTCATCATTAGAAATAATCTCGAGGAGAAAGGCAAAGTCCTAACGAAGAAAGGTAGAGCGACGGCTTATACAATATCCATATGAAGCTTATATGGCATATCGGAACCTCCTATTGTGGAAGTCTGTAGTGTCCTCGATGGCATCCGCGTCGTTTAGATCATCGCCTTGGCTATGCGAACCCTCAGCTTCTTCGCGGCCGCGTTGAGCGTTCCTCCGTGCGAGTAAGGCTCGTAAGCAAAGTGCTAGCACGACCTGAGAGACAGCGCATCCCAGAAACATCTTCACGCCTGTCTCGTATTTGGGGGCTTCTTCAGCCAAGAAGGCCTGAGGGCCTAAAGTGGTTGGTCTTAGTGATGATGGTCTTGAGATGGGCCAGAAATGCAGGAGAGCATACCAATAATGTTACCAACACAGTATCCCAGAAAGACGAAGGCTGTGCTTGTGGTTCGCTTTGTGTATCCACCTACGTTTGATGCAGGTAACTGCAGAGCAATGACTAGAGAGCCAACGAACGAACCGGTCTACTTCCGTTAGCTACTGATTAGAAAGGCTGCTGCGTGTTCACGACATACTAAGTAATATCCCGCCAAGCATCCAGCCGTGTTGGAGCGCGGTAGCTGCCATATCAAACACGTGCCTATTATTGTGGGACAAAGGTAAAGAGCCATGATGAAGGTGCGCGCGTTGGGAAGTCGTGAAGCGAGGAGAGGACCTGTGAAAACCCAGAACACCTGGGCGAAGCCCTGTGGAATCCCGTATAGCGTCGTTTTGAGTGGATCACCTCCTGCTACGTCCTTGACAATGAGTTTGCCGAAGTTTGCATTACCGCCGTTGATCATTTCATTGCATAAGACGAAGAAGAAGAGTATCCAGATCTGAGGGTCAATCAGGGCCTCCAAGACCTGCGGTAGCTTGATCTTTCTGTTGTAAACTCCAGTACGGTTGCTGGCGGCACGGGCGATCAAAAGAGCTTTCTCTTCTGTAGTAAAGCTTTTGGCTGTCATGATGTTGTTTGGCAGTCTGAAGAAGAGCAGTATGGACCAAAGAACGGTCATACCTCCACATATGATGTATATGATCTTCCAGACGACGAAGGTCTTTGCGTATCCACAGCCGTAGAAGAGTATACCACCAACGGCGCTACCGATGCCATTAAAGCAGTAGAACATACCTGCTCTTGCAGGCTGCTGCTTCCCGACGTACCACATCCCAACCATCTGCAGAGGCGAAGGTGTAAAGTCAGTGTATGTGTCATATGTCTGCTATGCATTCAAGACTTACCATCATGAAAGCCGGAGTGACGACACTCTCGAAGACACCAAGGAGGAATCGCATGGCAGCAAAGCCCGCAAAGTTGTGCGTAGCGGCTGTAAGTAACATTACTGAACCCCAACAGAAGCAGTATATTGACACGACTCGACCAGTCGGGAAGCGCTGCGCAAGGTATGCTGATGGCCATTCTGCGAACAAGTAGGCGAAGTAGAAGATTGATGCCAGCCAGGAATACTGATCGCCGGTGATACCAGTGGTTTCGAAAAGATCGAACACGGCAGAGTAGCTGATCGCTTGCTTGTCGATGTATTGGAGAAAATACGTTCCGCATAGCAGTGGTAGCAATAGCAAATCGACTTTTCTGGAGACTTTCTTGTTCGCATTCTGGTCTTCGAGGAGCTCGGCAATGTACTGGGGGGTGATATTATGTTGCCGCAGAAATAGGTTCGCTTCGTCCAGGTCTTCGACTTCGCCCACCATGGCGCTTTCTTCTTTCTTGAGAGAGTTGCCATCCATATTGTCCAGCTGGATCTCTACGTCTTTCGACATGGCCACTGCTTTGTCGTCGCCCTTGAGGGCGTTCAGTTCAGGTTGCATGGTGAAGAACGACCATGGACTGGCTGCGCACTCCCAATATCTCTGAGGCTCGACCATACATATACTTAACCTTGCGCATAGACTTCACCCCAACTTTGGAAGCTGCTTTGTCTGGCGACGTACCCCGCACTATGGGATTCCGATTGCGCATGGGCAGAACCTATGCGGGTCTCGATAAGAGGATATTCGATGACAGGTATCGATTATCCAATCATGTTGCTTGGAAGAAGCTTCCATACTTTATTCCTATCTTGTTATCAGGCGGAGCAGTGCTTCCGTACAAGCTGGAAACCCGCACCCTGGGTTAGGAATTGAAGTTGTGGGTCGCTGCCCCGGTCAACATTAGTAGTATGCAACAGTATGAGAACGTTACAGCAACTATAGCGAAGCGACATCAGTAGTGATAAGAACGCCACGTACTTGCAGATGGGAGATACAATTAGTGTCTTGTGACATCCAGGGTCAGAACTTTTAGTGAGCGCTAGCCGCCGTTAGCCTTCTTTTTGCGTCTCGGTAATACTTCGGCTGGATGTTGTTGCTGTCGGCATATCTCTGTCCTTGTATCTACCTATTTCCCGATCTATCGATTGTACGAGAGCTCCGAGGACGGCATCTCTCCAGCCAATGCAAATCATACAATGTGCGATATGTCACCAAGATTAGATAGTTACCTGCTGCAATCCTTCTCAGATAGTTGATTTGATGACAGATATCCTTTTCGGTACCTAATTCTACATCCGATACTGTTTTGACCATGTCTAGAAAGACGACATACACTGAAGACGCGCCAGCCGCCCCACTCAACGCTTCACAGGAGGTAGTATGCAACGGTATGGTCCATTGCTCTGGCAGCCTTACGCTCGAGGGGAAAACGATGCAGATCATCCCAGGAGGTATACAAGCAGAGACAGTAAATATGTGTGCCATGAAGAGGTCAACACCAGCTAATTATATTGCCTCAGCATCGAGTACTTAAAAACCTGTCCACCATACTCAAAGCAGCTGGTAGTAGCCTTGCTAGCGTTATCAAACTTAACATCTTTGTCACCTCCATGGACGACTTCAGGACCATGAATGAAGTATATGATAAGTTCTTCTCCAAATTCGACCAGAAACCGGTAGGTCACTTACGTGGCGGTGTGGCAAGTAATCGTTTTGACATTGCATCTTAGTGCCGGACGTGCATACCGGTTCCGCAGTTGGCTCTCGGTGCCAAAGTCGGGATGGATTGTGTCGCAGTTTTGGAGACGACAATTGCGAGACTGTAAGCGTGACCAGGGTGTAAATGCGGTTCTCTTTGGTCGTGATGATTCGGAAGATGTAGCTGTTGGGAACGTGCAGGAGCTGGGAGGGTGCGGCCGACGCCTTGCCTGATTGAGTGACGCAATCTTATCGATAACAAACTGGAAGCATGAATCCAAGAAATCACTCAATTCAGGCCTGCGCAATACATTTAACAAGAAGGTCGGCATTCATGAGCCTCGCGAGTGATACGACCCGATCGTGGATACCGGAAGCTTTGGGTTACCCGGCGGAGAACTTGTGGTGCGGGCTTGGCGTCGAACATGCACCTTTGACCCGTTGACTACTTAAGGCTTAGCGAGACCAATAACCGCTTGTGCACCTCGAGACAATAGCCCGTCGTTCATTGAAACTTGCAAACAACTCCCGGTAATCGTTGGCGCACCTACGTGACGTTTGTACAACGACAGCTACACAATGCCTAATATCATCGTTATCGGGTAAGCTCGTTCCATCGTGCAGCAGAGGTCGTCTTTCTACAGCTAACACATCTTGTGGTGAAGAGCAGGAGTCTCCGGGCTGACATCAGCGTATCTCCTATCCAAGGATCCAAGCAATAAGATCGCAGTTGTAGCAAAGCATATGCCAGGCGACCACGACATTGAATATGCATCACCATGGGCTGGCGCAAACTTCATGCCGTGAGCTTGCACACAAAAGCTACAAGCTACAAAATCAGCTGACGCATAGCGGGAAGGATGTCTTCATCATCAGATAGTCAATATGAACGCAAAACATGGCCCCAACTGAAGCGGCTAGCGACAGATGTACCAGAAGCAGGCATCCATCTTCAGAGTCAGTAATCTCTTCTACCATTACATATCACTGTCCATGGCTAACAAATTAGAATGTCGAATCTATCGCCGACGAAAAGACATGGATAAGCTAAGAAGTAGTGGCGGCACAACTTTTAGCAACGTGTTTGCTGAGAACCCCTGGTGGCGCGAACTGGTGGACGACTACCGAGATCTCCCTGTCTCCGAGATGCCATCAGGAATGGCATCAGGCTGTGAATTCGGCTCTGTATGCATCAACCCGGCGCTTTATCTCCCGTGGCTAGTGGGCCAATGTCGCGCAAACGGAGTGGTGTTTCATCGAAAAGTTTTAACACATGTATCTGAATTACGGTCCATTGGTGTTAGTGGTTTCAGTCCCGATATCATCGTCAATGCGACAGGACTATCATCTGCCAAGCTAGGAGGTGTCGAGGATCAAAGTTGTTACCCCATCCGCGGGCAAGTGGTCGTAGTGAGAAACGTGGCCCCAGCGATGATATGCGTTTCTGGAACGGATGACGGCGACGATCAGGCATGTTATATGATGACACGAGCTGTTGGTGGAGGAACAATCCTAGGAGGCACGATGCAGAATGGAAATTGGGAGAGCCAACCGGATCTCAACACCGCCAGTCGCATCATGAAGAGAGCAGTGAGTATGTCCCCTGACCTGACAGATGGCCAAGGGCCGGAACACCTTGATGTTATTAGACATGGCGTTGGGTTAAGACCTGGAAGGGAATCTGGTGTCAGAATCGAGAGGGAGAAAATGGATGGAATCTGGGTCGTACACAATTATGGACACGCTGGGTGGGGTTATCAGGGGTCGTACGGATGCGCTGAGAAGGTTGTTGCTCTGGTTAATGAGATCGTGCCGCAAGCTAAACTGTGAATATGAATAACAGTGGAAGAAGAATATGAATGGTTCAAATCGCTGTCCAGAATAGAACATGGAGGGCTCTCGATACACATGTGTGAACCCCTGGTACACTTAGAGAACTACTGCTGAGACAGCTCAACCTTGGACCACCAAAACTTACTTTCCTCTTTCGCATAAGTGTCACTAACCATGATAGCCGGCTCGCCGATAGTCTCTCCACCAATCAACTCCGTATTGTCTCTTCCAAAGATCATCACCTTCGGATTTGATCTATTGTAAGGCATCCATTCCGTTCTGTTGGCATACGAGCCTCCAAGCGCATTTGGAGTGCCGGTACAAACGAAGCTAGTGACGTAGGCATGCAGGGTACCCGACAACTCGTCCTGGCTCTTAGACTTCGCGATGAATGAAGGATCTCTTACTTCATAGAACATGTTGTCTGCGTGACGAGCTCCGTAGACGATATCTCGCTTCATTGCCCAGTGGTATAGATATACGGGGGTATTCTGGCTAGCATAGAAAGCCGTTTGACGGACTGGGGCCACGTATGCATAGTGTGCATAAGCCGCTTCGATACGCTTATACATTGGACCAACACCGTGCTCGAGTCGTGTCTCTTTATAGATCGATTCGGGTACCTCTGTCGGATCAGGATACAAACGGTTTATTGTTTGAATATCATCTTCGCTCATCTGCGGCAGCAATGTCTTCCAGAAACTCAGGAAATCTGCAGAGGTCGACATGTTTTTGTTCACATACAGTGAGCCTTCGTTGCCTTGAAATCCGGTCATGATTGGCATTTTGTGCCATTTCCCTGTTCGCCAGGCGTCAATTGGACGGCGGCGAATGATTTCGTTATCAATCACTGGTTGGAACGCCCAACGTAGACTGGGGTTGTACTTTTGGAAGACCTTAGTTTGGGCTTTAGCGATTGCGGAAGTCGGAAGTTTGCGGAGGTAGGTAAATATCTCTGACTCGGGTAGTGACGATGGACATTCAACTTCCTTCAAGAAGTCGGCAAATTGCATTTCGTGGATTTCTGCGTCTGGGTTACGGACGGCCCGGGACGTTGGAGCGCCAGATTCTATGACAACACGGTGAAACTTAGGCTTTATGCCCTCTTGGTAATTCAAGAGGTGGTGTCCTATCTAGAGAAATGTCAGTCAAGCTGATCAGAAAGAACACAGGCTTGTACTCACAGAATGTGCGCCAGCTGAAAGTCCTATGAGCGTTACGTTGTTCTTATCGCCCCCAAAGTGCTGGATGTTCTCTTCGACCCAATCCAGCAAGCACATCTGATCCTTCAGACCTAGGTTGAGCGCGCCTTCTGCGGCGCTCAGCTTTGATGGTAGAAAGCCTAGGGCTCCTATGCGATAGCCGAATGACACTGCAACAAAGGGAAGTTCAGACCATCCCACCATGGATGCAGTGTCATGCATTGCGGCATTTCCCCGATTGAAAGCCCCTCCATGAAGATACACTGCCACTGGCAGGGCGTCTGATCCATTGTGTTCAGCTTGTCGGAAGATGTTAACAGTAAGGCAGTCTTCACTCTCCTCGAGCGTCGGTCCAAGCACGATGAACTGCTGTGCTGGCGCTCTTGGACCGAAGTTTGAGGCATCGATAGTCTCCTGACTTGGTGCCACTTTCTCTGGTGGTCGGAAGCGGCGTTCACCTGTTGGTGGTAATGCATAAGGAACGCCCTTGAAGGCTTCAACCGCACGAGGGTAGTCGCCGCGTAAGGTGGTGCCTACAACAGTACCTTGAGGGATTTGCACTTCAGGTCTAGACATCGCTTTAGATGTGTTTTTGTTCCTGTCAATCTGTTAATATGTGGCACATTCATGCAGCTTACACTCAATCTTGCGACGTGCCTTCGAAACCTGGAGAAAGCTTTCAAAGACTAAGTGTATGCAGTACGTTTTCTTGATGAGATCTTGTTCATGCAATGCCGACACAATACCAATATACCGATGTTCTTAGATAGCCGTTGGAGTACTGCCCGGCATCGGCAATTGCCCCGCAATTGTTGCCTCACCTAACTTTACGGCTATCAACTCCCCAACTCGCTATTACACGACTTGCAGCGAATTTCCGTCGGTGCAAAGTCGTCGCATGGGTTATCCGTCGGATCTTTTCCGTTAGCTTGAGACGGCGCATCAAGCGGCTCTGGATTGATAAGGTTTTATTGACACATTGCCTACATCCTGTTCGGCAAGCACTAACCCAGACGTCGGTAGTACGTCGGCTCGTCCTTCAACGCCTTATCAGTGCCAAACGTAAGAACAGCAAAGGATGCTATATCACACTATTACAACAGTTGCTTCTCAACCTCGAACTATCAGGATCGTACGGATCGAACACGCCCCACCAGCTCGAGACATGCTGCAGGGAGGGTCCGTCGAAGAGCTGTCGCAAGCCACTTGCAGCCTGTTTGCTGTAAATCTGCTACCTGGGTAGGTCGCAGATCTGAGAACATTGTAGCAACAGGCAATGCGCGAGGGAAGGGATCATCTTGCCAAGTTCTGGCGAATTATGAGGTGGTAGACGTGGCTGCAGCAACATGCTTGTACGGTGGCGGCTTCAAATGTAGGACTTAGTCATCACGTAGTTAGAATTACTCGGCTACTTGTGTTACAGATGCTGGCTTCCTCATTATATTCGGTAATACAATTGGACATCTCGCAATTTTATCTAAGAACGACAGTTCTAGGAGGCGATTGCAGAAGCGCAAGTTTTGCGTACCTTTTGTCACATTCACTCTGGAGGTGACAACAACTTGGTCAACTCCCCTCACAGAAGGAAATCATCGCTTACACAATACGCCTGTAATTGAAAGGACGGTGAGCATTTCGTGCAGCATAGTATCCGTTGAGTAGTCTTGGCTGCCTAATCTCAGGGAACTGTCAGATCTATAGCTGGAGAAATGCTTCCGATCGTGGCTTAGAAGTACGCATGTTGGTCTAACATCTTAGTCAATAACCCTACATCGAAGAAACAAAATTCTGTGCCAGTCTATGATTCGGTGGGCAACCAACAACCGCTGACAATGCGTGAGCCATAATGACCACAACCCGGCGAGCTCTAGTCAAACAATACCTGTTCTGTGCCAGACTCAACAAGGATACAAGCAGCGATCAGAGTGTCCCCCCCCCCTTTCATTCTATTGGTGGACATCTTCCCCGCCCCAACATTGCTAGCAGCCCTCCTTATTCACATACGCGTTTCAAAAGCAAGGCTTCGCATCAGCCCCTTCATCTGCGTCGTGATGACATGCCCTCGAACACATGTTCCTTGTAGGCGGGCCGCGGATGATGCATGCGAGCCAGTGATGATCGACGTTCAGCCAGGAACCAGGGTGTGGGGCACGGATCGAAGGATTCAAAGTTTGGTGGCGGTCAGTCTGGATCGAACGAGTACAGAATGAGGCCAACGAATCTCAGCGTGCGCGTCAAGTGTGGTGTGAATAGGAATTGTTGCAAGTCTTTTGAGTAGGAGAAGGCGGTCCACGGTCGGGTCCTCATCCCCTCGGCCTTTCTTCAGCTATCCAGATGAACTTTACAATCGCAACTGCACCAAGCTCATCTTGGTCTTTGCATCTCACGATCTTGTGAGAAGTGATTTCGGTAACAGTCACACCAACAATGTCTTTCCGATTGGTTGATCGAGCTGAAGGTATGGGCTCAAATCCCACGTTGAGTTACAGGACCTCTCTCATCGTCATCGTCTTCCTCGCACTCGCCGTCTCTCATTCTCTTGAGGTCTTCGTCAGAATCTTCCGTCGATTCCGCTCGTATCGCGGGGTCTACTTCTACGCGCTGATCGCAGCGTCTCTCGGGATCATTATACACGCCTTCGGCTATTTCATCCGCAACTATAATGTATGCGACTCAATCCCACTGGAGATCACCATGGCGTGCGGCGGGGGCATACTCATGATTACTGGCCAATCTGTCGTTCTCTGGTCGCGGCTGCATCTCATCAGCTCAGGGAAGACGGACAAATGGTTGCTATACATAATCATCGCTGACTGCATTGTCGTGCAAGGAGGAGCAACTACGCTTATGACTGGATCCAGTCTGACGAAACCTGGAAAGTGGCTCGAGATCTACGAGAAGTGGGAGGTATTCCAGGTTACGTGGTTTGTCTTTCAAGAGTGTGTCATCAGCGGGCTGTACATCTATCGCACCTTCATACTCATGCGCAGCTCGGCTGTGTTCAGAGGCCCAGATGCGAAGCGCCTCTTCAATCATCTCATCGCCGTGAATTCGGTTGTCATCGCGCTCGACGTTACTATCCTCGCTTTCCAATATGCTGGTCTTTATGAGGTTCAGACAAGCTGGAAAACACTCGCCTACGCCATCAAGCTGAAACTCGAGTTCGACATCCTCAATCAACTTGTCGACTTCACGACGCAGGGCTTCAACGCGCAGGCCGGTTCGCGTCATATCTCTGGAACCAGCGACGGGCATGGGATTACGAAGGATGGTTTAAGAGAAAACGCGCGCGGTTCACGATTCGGCCCCTCGACGTATGCGCGTATGGACGAGGATGAAACAATTGCGCTGCCAATGGGAAACCTGGTGATGTCTACAGAGATACGGATCAGTATCGAGCAGGATGCTATCAGTGAAAGAAGTACCCAAGCACTGCGCGACAGGAACGGTTCGATGGCTTGATCAGCACGTGTACTTGCGATCTGTTCGGAGGGATCGTTTTCCGCTCGGGTGCGTTCGCCTGATGGAGCAGCATCCCTAGTTAAAAGATACAAGATAAATCCGCCATATCTTAGTACTCGCTGTTACGTCGCTGCAGTTGCATAGGGTGTTGGTGGCCAGTGTGTCATTCTGACGATCTGACATGAGTTGTTCGTTCTGGGTCTATGACCGAACGCAAATCGCCAAAGCGACTTAACACTCATCACAGTGGGTTCTTCTTGTGCTATCCGATTCGCATAGGATCGTCATCGTGAATGATGTTGTGAAGTTTGCGTCTGGACCCTTAGATCGGATCGTGATGCTAGCTCACCGCTAGTGCACCCAAATCGTCGTCGCTCTCGTTCCCCAGGATGCTGACATCATAGTTCCACCACATCATGGGCACGCATCGAGAAGTCGCTGCGGCAATCGGTGATATGGTACCTGCATCTCAGGGTCATCAAGCGTAATGTCGTCGCCAGTGATGCAGAGATTTGCTGTGCACGGTCGAACATTTGAATCGAGAAGTTGCCAATAGCCATCTGAATCCATCTTTCCCCATATTAACGTCACACCAAGCACACCCTCAGACGATTTTATTTTCGCATTACATCAGTAATCCATCACACTACAAAATCGGATACACAGCTCGTACCATTGCACCTTCCCATTCAACACAATAGGCATATAAACAATCCGCAACAATGGCCTCCAGAATGCTTCGTATCAACCGCAACGTTTTCCTCGCAGCACGACCGGCAGCTCGCATTGCCTCTCAAAGACCATCATTCAGAAACAACATCAACGACCTCAGCAACCACCGCTTTTTCGCAACAACACAGATCATGTCCGTCCAAGTTGACTCCAACTTCATCTCCCAGATCACTGCGGCAGAGAAGCTTATCACCGGCAAGGATGAACCAGCGAAGGGAGGCCCAACCGCAAAAGCCCAACAGCACGCTGGCCAGAACCTGACAGCACAAGTCATTCACGACATCACCGAGGGCGAGAAGCTGCTTACCGGCAAGGCTGAGGTCATGCAAGGAGGCCCAACGTCCATCGCCCAGTCCGCTCTTACATCTGGCTCGTCGACATCCACCAAGAATGCGAACAATTCCTCTGCTTCAGGAAAGCTGGACTCAGAGACATTAAGCAAGATCACTGAAGCCGAGAAGAAGCTCACTGGCGAGGCACGACCGGTAGCCGGAGGTCCTACGGCGCAGGCGCAGAGCCATGCTAAGGAGCCCATCACTAGCGAGGCTCTACACGACATCACCGAGGGTGAGAAGAAGGTCACTGGTGGAGAGCGCGTAAAGGGAGGTCCCACTTCGACCGCTCAATCTGAGCTTGCCAAGAGCAGGTCATAAGCATAGCCTTATGAGAGAGCTTCTACTGCTACGACTGTCTTGGCGTACTGTGTACAAAACTGTATCATATTGCATGGCAAGGGTTCCAAAGAAGGTTAACGACTATATCACGACATGACTGTATTATATATCGAGGCTTTTAGACTATCATGTACACGATAGTCCAATTCAAACAACATTAATTTATCGCTGCTCATAGTGTACGTGAGGTCTCCACGTAGCAATGCCATGACCTAACGCCGCGTTTCGTATCCAAAACCAAGAAGAGAAAGACAACGTCGCCAGTCAATGCGTCACACATGCTAACGCGCTATCCAAGGTACAGGAATCATAACAAGCAGTGCGAGATCATATCCATCCCTCTCGCTCTCTCTCATCCTTGATCCCATTCCCCTTCAGCCACCCAACACCCACATTGGCTACACCCTTCCACCTTTCTACGCTCTTCTTTTTGCTAAACCGATATTGCCGATCACTGCTCCTGGCTAGTCTCTCGTTTAGCAGCCCATCCCCTGACGCACCCAAGCCACCCAGCTCGATGTCCTCCCGAACCTCCGCTTCGCGAAACCCAAACGCCGATCCTGCGCCACGTCTCGACCGCGTCGAATTGACCCTGTGGAGGGTAGGAGGTCTGGATCCGATCGTCTCGTTGGATCTCACGCGCCTTAAACGGTCCTGGAGGTCTGCTGCTTCGCCATCGCCTACGATTCTGCCTTTGCGATTGGAAGGTGGGGTATGGTAATCAAAATTGGAATTTGCGCGGCGGAGACCATATTTGCGAGGACTCTGCTCGAGGGCTTGACCGAGTTCTTGGATGGCTTCCTCACGTGCGCGCATGCGTTCCAAAGATTGCATGCGCGGTGCTGCGAATGCGCGGCCTTGAACCGATTCGGATGGACGGCGGCCAAGGCGGGGTGGTGAGCGGCGGGCTGTGCGCTTCTCTTCGATAGCCATGGCCACTTGGGCGACAGAGTTGGGGACTACGTCCAGAGAGTTCTGATATGTGACGATCAGCGGGTGCGAGAGAGGGGTTAGTCATGAGACGTACCATGTGGATGAGTACGATTGGTAATTGAACGGTAACGAGCTTTCTGAACAAGGTCAGCGCCATCGGTGAGAATCATGCGAATACTTACGTATGTGCACTCGCGATGATGACATTCAGAAAGTACCTGACTTCGAAGTACTTGCCTACTTCAGTCAGAAAGGCGGCTCATGTTACGCCATGATGGAGCACCTACCACACTTCACCGTACCATGGCCTCGAGGTACCTCAAGGTCACAAGTTCTGATGTGGGTTTGGTGTGCAGAAACGCCGTTCCAGCCAGCGCAGCCATTCCTCACGATGGATTTGCTGAGAATAGACCGCTCGTTGCTGTCAAAAATGCGAGCCTGACCAGCAGACTTCTCCATCGTAGCGGCAGCAGCCTGCAAAATACTCCCATTAGCATGATTGTGTGATCGTAAAATATGCACTCATAACAGACGTGTTTATAGCATAGTATGTCCCTTTCCAATTGAAGCTCGATCTTCTTTACTGTTTTGCGACTGTTATTGGCAATGTGGACATCGACGTAAAGGCTAGTACCGCTAACCCAGACTTGACGATGTAGACCTGCTGTGACCCGAACGACCTCGACAGTGTTTTCCCGGGGCTTGATCCACTCATCTGATGCAGTCAAGGGGCTGGGAAGCGACATAAGTGCCTTCTCAGCTACCTTGTGTTAGCATGTAACCACAAAACCGAAATCGAAACATCTCATACGATCGTACACTGAGAGCACTATAACGTCTTGAGAAGTTCTGACAATGTACTGCCTTCCTTGGTCGCGAATAAGAAGAGACACACAAAGTATGTAGCGGATCCTTGCATTCTTCGATTGGAAGGGTGGAGGCCCGACGTTGAGAGGTAAACTTAGGTTGAAAGCAAGGTTCGTCGTAGAAGGCATCAGATGCCAGAATATATCTGCTGAACTTATTGGCTCTTGGGTATCTACCATATTCTGAGGCGGCGGATTTTGCTCGTCGATAAGCTCTGTGGCTAGGTTGAGAAAGACAGCTCGTCTGTTACCACTTATCTCCTCCGTCCCAAGAAGATCGATAGATATCCGAGCAATGTCCAGAGTCCTTCTATGACGTATTCGCTCTGCATCGTCGACGTTTATCTGAACAGTCCCTTCAATAGAGCTTCCGCCTACAAATATGCCTGCGGATAAGTCCAGGCCAAGCTCAATTCGTGGATGTCGGTGTAATGGGAATTCTAGCAGATCTTTTGATAGTGGATCACGAACAAAGGTCCTGGAGGGTATGCGTCGGTTGGTGTCTTGAGATTTAGGATCGAGGCGAGCGACGATGTGGCGTAGAGGAGACTGCGATTGACCGTGTCGAAGGATAGTGTTGGAACAGTTATTAGTAGGCTGGAGAGGAATAGTAGGTATTGCGTTAATTGTGTTTGTTGCTGTCGCCTGCGTTATGTGTATAGGTGGTATCTGTTGCGGCTGTCGGGTTCGTGAGGTGCTAGGTGCACGAGGGCGTGAAGAGGATCGTGGCGGCACGTTGCCTGCTGGAACGCTGTATATGCTGCATATGCTGATGTTATCTGCAGGACTTGATGGAGATGGTGTTCTAGAAGCCCGACCTCTGCAGGTGGATCTTATACCGTTACTTTCGATGCTATTCTTCCGGTCGGGTTCTATGTTTTCGCCATGTCGGTTGTCGTTGCTTGGACGTCGTCCTGTAGCAGCAGAGGGCCGACGCGACATCTCCGTGCGAGAGATGCTACGGGGAAAGTAATTAGATAGGGCGTTTCGAGGTATAGTATCAGCTAAGCTTGATTCGGTGAGTTCGCGAATGTCTGACAAGGGCCGGGTTTTAGCCCATGAAGAGGCGATGGAGTGCCCTCTTTGTTCACCAAGATGGCTACCAAGCATGCCTTCACCAGCTATGGTATTGCCGTTGATTGACTCTGACGAAGCGAGCAGAGACGAGATACTGGTCCGATCTGGTGAAGGATGGGCGTTAGGTAGCTGCTCTTTGACCGGCGGTGGCTGCGAGTGTCCTGACCCTTTCAGCAGCCGTCCCGCTATCTCGGAAAATGTCATTGCTGCCTACCGTCAGCGCGATGCTTTGGGAATTTGTATCATGCGGAGCACCCTCGTAAACGATAGACTGCGCGCGAAGCTGGCGACTAGCGACTAGGAGCTGACCGAGTGATTGATGCGGGATCTGATACTGCTGAAAACAGGATGAAAGTCATATGAGACTATGTCAATGCTTGGATATCCTGGTAGTGGTGAGAACTGTCGCTTGAGGGTTGCGTGTTGGAGACTGAATGCTCCAATGTGTCGTTTCATTGCCTCTAGAGGTGAGGAATGAACCTGTGCCGTAATCGCTCTTTCCATGATGATGCCATACGTGGCGGTTGAAGTTAGCATGAGCGATCAACAGTGTCCGGAGCAAACAATTGTCGCTGATGAATATGCAACCAAAATCGTTGCACTGAGAGTCTACACTGCTTGACTACTCTTACGTTCATACTGACAGTAGTGCCTCGCTAGTCGCTGGGCCACTTGAAGGCAAGACGACACGGCACGGCACTCACAGGCATGCTGCTACTTCCTAGACTTGTGTGGAATTTATAGTACGCATTGTTATACATCAATTATGATTTCAAGATTGCATGTTCCGGGGCTCATGTAGAGCAATCCGAGGAAGCCGCATCTAGCAGGCAATTCCGACTGTGTGATGCCGCGACGATGCCGATTTGACACGTCTCGACTATTTGACACGGCTGGATGTCAATGTCACGATGTGACAAGGCGCAGCCAATTTGCTCGTACGAAAGTCTCGACCGCGTCAAAGGTCACCTGCTCGCAGAGCCGAGAAAAAGCGTGGTGACGCTATGGCTGCTTCGGGCGAATAGGACTCATGTGGTGCATAAAGCAACGACCTCCGGTGATCCCTAGGTTAGACTTCGGTAGCGGTTCGGAAGCTGGATGCAGCGTTGGCGGAGAGAATTGTCTAGAGTACCAGATGTGTGGTAGTGGTGTGCTGTGCATGCGTCAGGCTTTGAGGCCGGCTTGGCTCCTTGCTCGCTGTTCGCAAAATTCCGTCCCCTGACTAGCAGGAGAGTCAAGCCACGTGACGAGCGAAAGAGCGTGATCGGAATTCCGTTGCGCTTCAGCTACTGGCGTTGTCCTGGTCACGGCTGAGAAGACGTCCAAGGTTCATCGGTGAGGCATGTCGGATGGACTGACTGGTCTTCGTATCGATCGTTATCGCAAGCTGCACCCCTCGTCATGCCAGATGGAACATGCTCGTCAGCCTTAGATATGCCGCCTGCGAGTAGGATGGCTTCATATGGACGAGGTGCGTGGCCTCGGTGCAGGGGCAGCGCGCTCCGACGTCGGTGGGCTGGTGTCGATGCGACGACGAGTTGCTTGCTTTTCACAGGAACACTTCATGGCTGCGCAGATGAAATCAGACAGATGCATAGATGTCGCGGTCGATCGCCCTTGGATGGGAGACGCCTGATAGATAACCGCCCAAGACTCGCAGTCTGCACTGCGCGTCCATGGAGAACCGGAGAAAGGGTGTAAAAGTTTCTAGTGGCGCGGGAACTAACCACGCAGCTACGCCGGATGCAGTATCGCGATCCAGCTCGGCTGGGGCAGCCATGTTCGGCGTCCTCCACCAAGGCGTCTTGCACGAAGCCTGCTTGCCAGAGCCGTGATGCAGCGTGAGCACCCCGCGAGAAAATTCTGAGCTATCGGCCAACCGCGCTCCCGCACGCTTGGCCGTCATTGCGCGTTGGAAGTGCCCAGCAGCGTTCGCGCGGCTGCGATTCGTCGCGCGCCAGAAGGCACATCTTCCTGGAGGCGAGTCGAGTGTCGAGCTTTAACCACATGGGAGGAGGTGATCTGGGCAGCAGAGAGTGGTCCGCCCGCCTTTTCAAGTCGAGCACTCCGCCCCTCCGTTCGAGCCCATCTCTGTTTCCATTACCCAAGAGCTTACCTCACAACTACTGCGCGACCACACACAGGCCCGAACGCCTTCTTCTTATCATACATTATCAAAACCCCATACAAACCGTATCGATTTTCGACCCGGCGCTGCGGCTGCCCAGCACAAGCGCGTCTAAGCGACCAGAGCCTCCTGCTATCTCCTTCGACCTGCCTTTGTCGCATCTCTCGCATCTCTTGGCGCCTCTGTGCCCCTCTATCTGCACCGAGGGGTACGGTGGCCGCAGATGGGAGATAGTCTCGTAACAGATATGACGGCTCCCGTGGGCAAGGCAGAGGCTTCGCGCGATGGTTCGACCTCCTCTATCGGATCGTCGCCCGAACCTGGTCTGGCCGAGACATATACCCAGGAAGAGCCCCAGCAGCAGAAGCGCAAAGGTGGCCGTAAACCTGTGAGCCTTCCTGATACCAGTTGCCTGCCATGGCTGCAGCAATTGAAGCGCCGATTACCATGTCGAAGATAGGACTAACCAAGCGTCGTAAGATTTATGCCACCTCAGAAGAGCGCAAGCAGCGCAATAGACAGGCGCAAGCCGCCTTTCGTGAGCGACGCACAGAGTATATCAAGCAGCTCGAGAGCACCATAAAGCACCATGAGGATACCCTGCAGAACCTGCAGAACAGTCACCGCAACGCCGCCGACGAGTGCCTTATGCTCCGGTATAAGAATTCTCTACTCGAGAGGATTCTGCTAGAGAAAGGTAGCCCCGATCTTATCAACATGTCTATCCATCAGCGTACACACGCTAACCCCTTGCTCCACTAGGTATCGACGTCCAGGCCGAGCTGCGCGCGAAGACTGGCAGTCCAAACCTGGGGCCGACCAGAGCCCCAGCCTCTGCACATACTTCGCCAAATCAGGCGCCTCTCCAACAACGTGCTATATTGAACAGACAACAACAGAGGCGGTCGCTGCAAGGCCCGCCCAAGGTTGATAGTCTAAATGGCTTGCCCATGATACAACCGGATGGGCCGATTCAGCGTTCACCACTGTCGCAACCCACTCCTGGTTCACACATGTCGTCGCCTGCTCAATCAGCAACGCGCTCGCCGAGCTTCATACCTCACGGTCAATCAGTGTCTCCCAACTTTGGGCCCATTCCTCCACAGCAGCAACAGCAGCAGCATCAACAGCAGCAACAGCCGCTGCGACCACAACCACCTAGATCAAACTTCACTCCTATGATGAATGCTCAGCGACCTTCTCCGCTTGTAACAAACCAACCTGTCTCGAATGGCATGACAAGCGCGTCTACCGTTGGCAGCAACGGAAACGGCATAACTCAGAGCAGTGGTCCTTCGTCTTTCTATCAGACTCAATTCACAGACCATATGAGTCAACTCGGCAAGCTGACCCGTTTCCTTTCCCCTCTTAGGTATAGGGCTTTGTAATCCTAGGCTGATTTCGTGTTATAGAGCAGGAGTACGAGGAACAAGCCGACTCCTACAACGACCATGACGACCCGAGCGACCACTCGGCTGGCCCCGGACCGTTCCCGCAGCAGAGCTTCCCCCCTTCGAACAACATGCCACCGCCGATGCCGCCGTCGCAGAACCCTCCCTTTACGAGCCCAGCAGCTTTAGCCCCCAACGACGGGGGTCACAACTTCAATGGCATGGGCAACAACCACCTTTTCGACCCGTACGACCCGATGCTCGACGCCGACCCCTTCGGACTTTCGGCCAGCATGCACTTCCCCACGATGTATGAGAGCAGATGATGATATGAGGAGGATTCATGGGAAGAGGAGGCTATATTGGAAGTTGATCAGGGACCAACCGGATCGTCGCCCGCCGACTGATACTTTTTAATGACGTTGTTTAGCGGGCGTAACAACTGCTTTTACCCAATCGACCACGTGTCACGACAGTACGACGGCGTTCAACAGCAGACCCAGAGTCTTGCTACGGGGGAATTCTCAAAAAGTTATTATTTAGCCTGAAACAGGTCATACGACGTGTATATTGTGATGGAAATTGCTTGGGGTTATTGTTGTGGACAGCAACGAATGCTTCTCATCCATACGTTTCACTCTGGTATTGCAGCCCGTTCGGAAGACGGGGTGGTGCCATGTACATATTGTAATCCAAGTCGACCGCAACTGTCAATGGAAGTCGCAACCCCAATCCCGCCTCATGAAATCTTTTGACAATGCCTATTGCTCCTTGCCAGAGTGAGCAAACGGAAGACGTCAGTTTCGTTATACAGCCAACTGGCAACATTATCTTGAGTCTGCATCACACGCATTTGTACTTGCCTTAGATGCTTAGTTTTCGAACGATGCATACCTGGTGTGATTTGAGCCTCGGAATGACGTGCACCTGAAGCCACACTTGATTCACACCAGCCTCACACCGGTGTAGCAGAAGTGTCCAATCGAAAGCCTAGCTTCTGTTCGATGATCCCTTCCCCTGGGTATCATTTCTGGCTAGCATTACACAGGAATCGACTGAAGCGCTGTATGCGGCTGCGACTGCAGCGTTGTTGTTGCTTCTGTGCCTCCAATAGTCCTAGCCCCACATCACTCGCTTACGGAAGCAACCCACGCCCAATTTCGAATCACCAAAACCTCTTGCCCGCAACATCGCGCCTATCACCCCGTTCGCGAGTCACATTCTGAGAGCCACGTCCCTAAATTTCGTAGGGCAAGCTCTCGCATCCTTTTTCTCTCCCGGCAGATTGTGCATCTAGAAGGGCAAAGCGCGAAAGGCGCTCCAATTCGTCAAGATGTCGCAAATTGCTTCCAAGGTAAGCTCCAACTCACCCCGCCATCAGGTCCAGCGTCGCGCCCTCCCATTGAGAGCTGCAAGAGTGGCTGCAGTCTGTTGTAGAGCTTCAAGATGCTAATTACAAGTACAGAACATTTACGAGCTGCTGGGTATGTCGCAGACGCACTGCACAGTACCGGAACATTCACTCACGACCCCGCAGGCAATGACCCCGAGCTCGACCCCGACAGGCCGGCTGACCCACCGACGAGGGCAATTGAGAAGCCCGTCATGAGGCATGGCAAGCGCGATGGACCCGACGCTCCCAAGCCCATGCCCGAGAGGCTGAGCCACCAGAACCGTGCCAAGCAGACCGACAACGCCAACGAGAACGGTACGTTGAGCAATAGGGCGTTTGACATGCTCCGGCTTCACAAGGGGAACTCCATGAACACTGGCTAACGAAACACAGCTTTCCGGGATCGCGGTGTCGGCTCTGACAAGAACCGTGGAAGGGGATCTGGTGGTGAGTGGAATACCATTGGTTTGCACGTACATGTACTGATTTGTTATAGAGCCTACTGGTGCTTCAACTCGCGGCCGCGGCCGTGGTCGCGGTGGACGCGCAGGAGGCCGCGGTGGTGCTGCTCGTGCCGAGGGTGACCGTCATAGCAGGACTGGCATCGCGTATGAACGACCCCACACTATATCTTGATACCATCTAACAATTTTCAGCGACCACGACAAGCAGGCCGCACACGGCTGGGGCGGAAACGACGGCAACGCTGAGCTCGCTGACGAGCAGGCTGGCGAGGCCATTGCCCAGGCTGAAGAGAAGGACGCCATCAAGGAGGACGCTGAGGACGCCGCCGAGGCCGAGCCTGAGGACAAGAGCAAGTCCTACACCGCCTACCTCGCCGAGTTGGCCGAGAGGAAGCTCTCTCTTGCCGCCCAGAACGTCCGCAAGGCCAACGAGGGCAGCAGCAAGAAGTTCCCTGAGGGCACTGCCCTCTCCCGTGAGGAGCAAGAAGACTTCATGGCCGGTTCCCAGGGCAAGGCCAAGCGCGAGCGCGCCCGCAAGGAGAAGGTCCACGTTGAGCTCGACGGTGACCGTATGCTTGCTCCCCCTCCCCGTGAGGGCGGTGCCCGTGGAGGACGCGGCCGTGGCCGTGGCGAGTTCCGCGGCGAGGGTCGTGGCCGTGGTGGTGAGTCCCGTGGCGAGGGACGTGGTCGCGGCGAAGGTCGTGGCGAGTTCCGCGGACGTGGACGTGGTGGTGAGGGACGTGGACGTGGCGAAGGCCGTGGTCGCGGAGGCCGCGGTGGTGCCCAGTCCAGCATCAACATCACCGATTCCAGCGCCTTCCCCAGCCTGGGCGCATAGACTGCGTCAACACTGGTCGCTGCCTGAAAACAGGGTGTACCTGCACCCCACAATCAAGTGCGGATGAAATGAACGAATGAACAACAGCTATCTCATGATGGGACGAGCGAACGGAGAGCTAAATCACGATATCAAGGAGTCTCTAATTGAGATGTCTGCGGGCTAAAATACTTACATCTACCGGTACCACGAATGTAGTGAACTTAAGCTTGGCCTTTGCAAGTGTTTTGATTCCCGCTTGGTCTTCTTATGTGGTGCGGTAGCACGTTTCTATGAATAAGAATCAAAAAATTGTATCTGATGACTTCTAGTCCATTGCAACTATCAAGGTCTTACACGATCTTTATCGAGACGGATATCCGTGTGTCTAACAACAATTATGGAGTGTGAAGAGGCCTTTCAGATGGATGTGCTGCTATGCGAAGATATGTAAAGGAGCGCAACCATGGCTTACCTGGACATGATGAGCACCGTATTAATGAGCGCTGTTGTCAGGACACCATAGTTGTAGACCGAGGGAAGCACCACGGGACCTCAAGCTCCTGTCGCATAAAATGTGCCTTGTGACATTGGAAATCCTACAACAACCACTGATGGCGGACAAACTATTTGTACTACCGTGAGGTTCGTCTTTGATGCCTGCGCACAGTGTTCTGCCTAGCACTTCAGCCTTCTTCTTTGCATGCGTCATCGTTCCAGGTGTCAGTCAGGCCACCACTCCACAAACATCGCGCGTCAACGGCGCAGCCTCATCGCCAAACTTCCGTCCATTCGCCCCAGCGGTCGCGCAACAGGATGTAGTGTCCTAAATCACCTGCAGAGCACAGCCAAGGCGGCCCCGGGGATAGGTAGATAAGGCGTTACGCGCGAGGAACCATTTTCGGGAACGCGTGGGAGGCACACGGCAAATATCGCGCCATCCACACCGCACGCTCGCCCATCCCGAACCACTCCACATCAGCCTTCAACCCCATGTACATGCAAATACTTCTGCCTGTTTCCTTTTTCGAGCGGTGTTTGACACCTGCTCAGCCACTGGTTAGACCATGCGGTTCGCGCGTTGTTTCTGAGACTTGATTGGCCGATCTAGCCGTTGAAGTAAGATCTAAGGCTGAGACGCGGTCAGCCATTTGCCAAATGTAGGCTACGGCAGGACGGCTTTTGATGCATTTGTGGGACATCGATATGTCCAAAAGTTCAGCTTGTGGCTGTACATCTACTGCCTTATAACCAGGCTTTGCTATGTTTACTGGCTTAGCACAACTTCATCTTTTTCCATACAACATCACTTGGATATTCCACAGGAGGTATATTCACGAGAACCACGGACTGAAAATAACCATATACAGCATTCGACAGAAGACGACTTGACTGGCTGGTCAGATGGCTTCCGCCGAGCAGCAACCGTTGTTAGACGAGAAGATTGCTCCCACACATAGACTGCAGAACGAGGATGAACATTCGCAAAACTGGATGAGACCGGCGGAGCGAATTCTGAGAGATATACTGCGTCATGTCGTTATACTATCCCTCGTTTGCGGCCTCGCAGTCTATGGATCGTATACTCTTTGCAAGCAACACATTTTCCAAAAAACTGCATGGCGAGTGCCAGCACCCGAAGGCTCGACTTCATTCAATTACACATGTCTGCCAGGCCAGACTTGTTGGCCAACCACAAACGAGTGGAATACTTTCAACCAAAGCATCAATGGCAATCTCCGACTGACAGTACCCTGGGCCGCACCCTGTTACTCTGATCCTTCGAGCAAACAGTGCCAAGAGGTTGCAAAGAACTACGGCGATGGTGTCTCACGTACCAAACAATACGGATCCATGGAGTTTCTCGACTGGGAAAGGTGTGGTCAATCCCAATGTGCACTCAACTCTTTCAACACTTCAGCGCCCGTCTCTGGTACCTGCGCGCTAGGAAGGCTATCCGCATACCATGTAAGGGCTGAGACCGGGCGCGATATCAGCCAGACGTTGGATTTCGTTCGCAAACATGGGATTCGTGTCTCGATCAAGAACACTGGGCACGATTATTACGCGCGGTCAACAGCGTCGAATTCGTTGGCTATCTGGACTCATAACATGAAAGATACTAAGTTTCATAAATCCTTCCAGCCTACAGGGTGCAAAACCCGCTATGAGAACATCGGGGAGATTGGTGCTGGCATTCAAGCTCAGGAGGCGTGGGAGGCCTTCGAGCCTCATGGCATGCTCGTCACAGTTGGCGCAGTAGCTTCCGTTGGCATCGCAGGGGGCTACGGTCAGGGAGGTGGCCATGGACCGCTGGGGCCCAAGTATGGACTCATGATCGATCAAGCAGTTGAGTTCGACGTCGTCACCGCTGATGGCAAGCAACGCACTATCAATGAATGCAGCGACCCAGATCTCTTCTGGGCAATGCGTGGAGGCGGAGGTGGCAGCTACGCTGTGCTCACATCCTACAAGTTTCAGCTGCATCCGGCTGAGCCTATCAATGTGTACAGCTTTCAAGCTCACTTTCCGGAGCCAAAAGACATCGCCAAGTCGAAGATCCATCGCGACATCATCACCGGGCTTGCCTCCAATCAGCCCTCGTTTTCCAAGCATGGAGTTGCCGGATACAATTTTGTACTCCCAGATCATGTCGTGTTTCTGCAAGTATTGCCCTCTAGCAACACTTCAGAGATCAAGGCTATCACTTCCCAATGGCACGATTTTCTTACCAATTATCCTGGTCTAAATATCACCGAGAATGAGTATCACTCCTTCAAGAAATTTTCGCAGTACAATGAATTTACAGAGAGACCGGAGATATCTCGCAATGGGCCGGTCGGTCTAGGCTTCAATGGCGGAGGACGCTTCATCTCCAAGGATCTCTTCAATTCGACTGATAACATCGAACGACTAGTGGATGCGGTTGTAACTGCAATGCACTTCTCTCGCACCAACCATGGCGGTGGAGGCGCTCAGTTTTACGCTACTGGACCTGACAACACTCCCGATAATGGCAAGACTAGTGTGAACCCACTATGGAGAAACTCACTATGGGAGATAGTGATGGGCCAGTTCTGGACGACAGCCACACCACCAGCTGTGCGATCGCAGATCCAAAAGACCGTTTCCGCTACTATTCAGCACTTGAAGACCGTGACACCAGGTGGTGGGTGCTATTCCAATGAGGGCGATTGGACTGAGGAGGACTGGCAGCAAACGTTCTTCGGTGAGCACTACGATAGGCTACTGGCAATCAAGAGGCACTATGATCCTACCGGTCTATTCAATTGTTGGAAGTGTGTGGGTTGGACAGGATATGATGAGTAAGTGCAAGAACCCATATTTCATGAACAAAAGCTAATTGTGGCAGTCCAATGTATTCATGGTAAGTTCTGCCTGTACGAGATATATACGAGACATATACTGACCCTATATCTTCACCTTCGCAGCTATGCGCAAACACAACAGACACCACTACCTTCTGTCCCACTTGGACCTGTCAGATAGATATTTTGAGTTTACGAATAAATGCGTACTTTATGCCAGCAGTCGACCTGTACGGTCGCGGTTAGACGCGCGATCACGTATGCATTTCAATACAGCCATCTTCTTTCTCATGCTATCGTGTAGACATCAAGTCAATCCTTCTATTTTTGGGTTCAATTTCCAGCATTTATTGTTTGTTAACCCCACTTTGTACTCATCTGTGCCACGTCGGGGGTCCAATTGCACTCTATGGAAGTCTTTGGCCCAGGAGCGGCCTCTCACCGCAATGTGAGCAACCCTGGGTGAACCCCCACCGGGTCGTAAGAGAAAACATGCGGGGGCGCGTTGCGGCGCTGTTTGTACTCACCTATTAACTTATCATCAGTAGGCTTCTCATTGGCCTGCGTTTGTCATTCACCAACTGCCAAGCGGGCCAACGCTTTTCCAGCGTAGCATATAACGCACGCTCACTTGTACTTACAGAAATCTAGGTGATGTAGGATAATAACAATAACAATCCTTTCATCGGCCCTAGCTCCCACACTTACCTTTACTTCCTCCAACCCACATCACGCGACAATCAACTACCACGAGATCATCACTCGAACCGCAATCTGCTCACACGATCACTTCAAGAATCTAACTCAGAACAACCCAGCAATGCGCGCAGACTTCGCCGTTGCCTTTGCGCTGCCGCTCGTCGCTGCGGGCGCGCACCTGGGCCATCGCCACAGTCATGATCATGCCGACGTTCATCGCCGCGCGGTCAAAACTGATGTCGTCGTTGTCACCGAGACGGTATATCTTACGCTGACTGCAGAGCCCATCTCGGCCTCACCACAATCTTCTAGCTGTGCCGCCGTCAGCACCTCGACTGCGGCTCCACCGTCCATCACTTTCAATCTCCCGGAGAAGGGACCATCCGATATCGCGTCCAGGTCTGCGTCGTCTTCTGCTGCATCGTTTTCTGCTACGCCATCATCTGATTCACCACTTAAGACTCCATCATCTACCGGCAACCTCTATGCGCCTCTGAGCTACGAACCGCATACTGCCATCATTGTCAACTCCTGCGACTATGGCGTCTACGTATCTTCAATCGGCGACGTCACTACCTGTGGACCCGGAAAGATTTGTGAGCTTGTTCCCGCTAACACCACCTACTCTGAACCCATCCGCAGCTGCGGCGACTCTGGAATCTCCCTCAAGGTCTCAAAGACGGAGTCAATGGCCCAGCCAATGCAGTTCGAATACACTGTCTGGCCTGACGGCACCACCATGTCCTACGACATCTCTTACTTGGACTGCCAAGTCAAGACTGACGATGTTTTTGACTTCAGCGCCTGCGTTGGACACGAGAAGGGTATACAGGCTGCCGCCCCCGATGGACCCGTCTACGAGTGCGTGGCAAACGAACCATGTGCTCGGAATGCCTACATCGTACCTGAGTTTGGCTACTTGCCCGGTGCACCGGTCGGCAGTTCCACCATCGACAAGGGTATTGCCTTCGAGATTTGCGCAAAGAACAGGGCTTGAGTAGGAGATGAGGAAGAACGAAATTCGCGACAACAACTTGAACATTTCTTCTCAGTTCGACTGACCGAGTTATCCGGACGTCTCTTCTTACGGGCACGATGGATTGTTAACGTGTGTACTCATGTTGTTGTATTAACAATCTTGGTTCAAACATCTTTCTAACAATTTACGCACAGGCCCTGAATGCTCCGGGTGGACAACATACACAGTCTCATGTGGGTTTACTTTTCTTCTTTGCCTTGCGTTCTTTTTTACATTCTCTCTGTTTAGGCCTTGTTATTTCCTTCTTCGAGTAAGGACATAGCCGAGCGGAAGTTGGGGGTTTGGAGATTTGTGGCGATGCAGATGGTATATGGGTGCTGGCGGTTAGCTAGCTCATGCCTCTCAATTGAAAGCCTTTTATACAATATTCCTCTATCAGTCATGATGCTGAATATGCACCGGCATATATCTCCAGCGAATCCCTCATCACGCTGGGATCAGAGTCTCGCTTGAAACGAACTTTTATTGCCATTAATTCGTTACCCTTGTCCACTCAACTCAGCCGATTAGCCAGAAACCTCCTCAGTTGTCTCAAGACTGTATCATCCAACGTCTGTGCACAAGCATTTGACTCGGCATGCTGGAACAAACTGGAAAGCTTTGACAGTGCAGTATCACAAGTCTGACAACTGAATGGCTTACAATCGTATTCCGTATCGCCGTTGTCAAGCAGCTCGTTCCGATCATCTTCAAAGACGAAGTAGGGCCACTTATAGCATTCGGCTGCAAGCTTGTTGAGGTCGATGTAATTGATGTTACTACAGGTGCCGCGTTCGAGGTGAATGATCTGCCACGGTGAGCGAGCAGACCAGAGTATGATGCATCTAAGATACGTACCATGCCGCCGTAAGTCTTGAATATTGTGGTACATAGGTAGCACTCGTATGTCGGTTTGCGATGAGACAAGCAGTGCTACAAAATTTCAACTCCACACTCATTCGACTGACAGTTCTCACGCCTTACCTGATGGAGATGACTCTGTGAAGTGAAGTGCCTCTCACACTTAGTGCAGACGTTGAAGTCCTCCACATGGTTCAAGTACTCTTCAGATTGAGGAACCCAGTATGATCCAGTTCCATCATTGCAGCCCTGACAAGCAGTACGGCAGCCTTCTTCACGAAAGTGGTCGAGTAGGTCCTCCCAGGCAGCGCCGTCGAAGTCGCATCCAGGACATTCGTGATGGCTTGGTGAGTCGCGGATATGCTGATGGAGGGCATGAGAAGTCCGATAGCAACGGTCGCAGCGCTCACAAGACCTACTCATTGTGAGTGGGAAAAGGCATGCAAGGGGTTACTTACACGGCCATTCTGAAAAGAATTCACGGCTGGATATTTGTTGGTTAAAGACCTAGCGGTTGTGTTTCTGATGTGTTCGTAGGGGATGAGGAAACGTACAGATTGTAGGTGCAACATGTAGTGAGCCGGTCGCGTTTGTGTTTGTCCGGAGCTCCACTTTCTTGAATCAAGTGGTCGCGAATATGCAGTGAGGGTATGCACCTATGCTGACCTACATAGCAATTAGTTGAACCGCGACAATATTTGCTGAATCAAGATTATAGCAGTCGCTTGGATAGCTGCATGCCATAGCCCAGATGTTAGTAATACAAGCAAGGGGCAGAAAGAAGGATAGAACTAGCTCACGCCTTGATTGGAGGACACAGGCTAGACGTGTTCAGGATCCTAACATGTGGTGACAACAACTCGTGCTCCGTCATTAGGAGCAGTAATATTCTATGACGAGAAATCTACTGAGACCTAGCCGTCTTTCTACGAACCCCACTCTTTGAACGCCTTCTGCTTTTGCCTGCTATTCCATTGCAAGGTCCTGGAAATACTTTCGATCCAGTCCGTTCTCCTCTTGTTCAGCGGCAGCACACTCGGGAACGGGAAGCGACTTGCACTAATCGTGACGTAGTCGCCAGGCTTGAGTTCGACCCTTTCCCTGCCATCGAAGCTAGCCCATGAGCTCGTTCTCGCGTCATAAGGTACACCGCAACGGAGCACGATGGTATCGGGTAGGATGATAGGTCGGAACGAAAGCGTATGCGCGCAGATGGCGGTGACAAGGACCACGGGGTTGTCGGGATGACAGAGCGATCCGCCTGCTGCAAGGTTGTATGCAGTCGAGCCAGTGGGTGTAGAAACACAAATGCCATCAGCCTGAACGGTAGTAAAATGCTCGTCGTCTCCGAACAACTCAATAGATGACATGGTAGGGTTTGGCCCTCGGTCTACAACAACCTCGTTCAAGATGTTGTGTGTGCCATCTGAATAGTGTGTATGGTGGTCATCAATTTCTTCTCCGATGAGCTCTTCAACCAAATCCCGACCCGTGCCGTCTCGTTTTTGTGACCGCATAACCGTGGCTTCGAAGCGGAGACGGAGACTGACTGTGATGCCATCTGCGAAGGCAGTGGATAAGGATTGTGGGTATAGCTCGAAATCGAATTTGGTGAGGAAACCGAGAGAGCCTAGCGAAAAGGCGATGGTTGGGGGAACGATGCGCTGGAATAGCCACGACGCATATAAGACTGTGCCGTCACCACCGAGCTGTGTTGCTGTTAGCTTTTGGACAAGGTGCAGAGCGATACTTCTTACCGCCAGAACGATGTCAAAGGTCTGCGGCTTCTGAGCGCACATCTCGTTTGTCCAAAATTTAAGCCGTCCTTGGTACGACTCATTCTTCAGCAGCCCTGCAGCGTCGAAGATGTTGTTGTCCTCGAGCGTTTGCTCGACGTAGCTATGTCTGGTTAACCATGTCCCTCGATTGGCAATGCCGCCACATACACCTTGTACTCCGAGTTCTTCTGAAGAAGCCAGTCGGTGACCTCGCGCGAGTTCTTGATCAGAGCCTCATCATGCGCCTTGCCCAGAATGAAGATATTCTTCACGTGTAGCTTGAGCCTGATCTGCGAGAGCTTCTTGGACAGTTCCCGTATGCCAAATGCCATGTCTGACAGCTCCTTCTTGGTCAACAACCGCGAGTGCTGTGTCTGCTCGGCACGCGTAGAGCTTGGGTCCTTGTCCACACGCCTTTCCTGCGCGAGACCTTCGTGTGACTGGGAGTGGTCTTTTACTGGCAAGCCATCGTGCTTCTCGAGTAGGGAGTGGACAATACACGCGGTGGTGCGGCGACCATTCTCGGGGCGGGACGTCATCTTGCCAGAGGGGTGGGGAGCAAGCGAGGCTTTGCGACGATGGCCGTTATATCCGCCTTCGAAGACGACCTGCCTTGGTTGGTCAACGTGTCAAGAACAAGAATGGTGAATTATGTACCTCTAGGGCATCGTCGTGGCTATTCACTTGGGTAATCTCCTTGGTATCTTGGTCTCCAAGCTCGCTCTCCATGAGGAAGTTAGCCTGATGGCATCGTTATGACGTTTGGGAGTGCGCTAGGTACCTCGATCGCTTCCTGCACACCCGGACTCAGTTGATCGAAATAGCTCGCCGACATGACTGAAGCGTACAAACAAGCCGGCGATTCGAGGGGTCAAAAGGTACCGTTGCCCTTTTGTAGCCCTTCTGTAGCGCAGTGCGTAATGTCGAGGGTGCAATAATGGGCGCCGCCTCGGCCCACTTTCCGAGGGGCAGCCAGGCCAGGCCCCGCCCGGGTCCAATCACGTCCGCCCAACGCCGATGAGATCAGCCACCGGCGTCCTTACTCATGCCCCAATCTCCAACCACCATCATTTTCCCACTCGTCTTTTTTGCTGACTGAGGCTGCTAGAGTGGCACCTCTACCGATTCCAGCACTTCCTCGATAACGTCCTCAACCGTGACACCTTCCAGGACAGCCTTTACTGCTTCGAGCGAGCTGCCCCATTGCATGCTGCGCTCGTTCTCTGGAGCCGTGATGACGATACGATGTGGGTATATCTTGCGGGCTGCCAAGGCCACCATGGATGGTGAGATGTATTCAAGACCATGCAGTGGAGCAAGCGTGCTGCTACTGTCAGCATGAACCTCCCGTGGTAGCGGACCACGTACTGTGCCAGCGTATTGAAGTGCCTCGTGGCCAATGCAGAGATGCCTCCTGCGACTGCTCGGTGCAGCCTCATGAAGACGATAATGTTGTGCAGATAGGCTCGTACTTCAGAACTGATCTTCACTTCTGACATCTGCTTCGTCAAGCTTACAAGGTCCTGCAACGTTCAGCTTGCTTCAAGACGATCACAATCCACATACCTCAGAAGAGAATAGCGCCGTCTGCGGCTTGTACTTTCCTGGTTGAAATGGCGGCGTGCGTACTACAGAAGACATGGAAGCACCGTCATCTGACACATGCTGCTTCTCCTGTAGCTCTTCAATGTTTGGCAGTCCATCATCCATTTGATGTTTGTGTGAGATGAAAAACTGGTCGTTCTACAACCCAGTCAGCTAATGGATCGAGGTTCCTGATTCAACCTACCAGATGCATGGTCAAGCGTGGTGTGTCTGAAGCGTTCAAAGCGATGAACAAAAACGGTCTTGGCGCCGCATGTACGGCTGTTCTTGTGAAGTTCCGCTTGCCTCGGATCAGCTGTCTGTCGTTAGTTATGCTCGAGCAGAAAAGGCAGACGATGGACCTCTAAAGCCTGGATCTGAACCTGCAGGTTCGCCCTGTTGAGATTCCTTGCAACAACAATGTTCGCAATACGTTTGCTGTCCAGCGGACTAAAAGGTCTGGGTGATTTCGATGTGCGTCGGTCTAATCTCTCTGGTGATTTTGAGATAGGTGAAAAGTGACCGGGAGCATGAGCTACGTCTCCTCTATCCCGCTCATTTGTGCTCCCAAAGTAATCGTTCTCTTCTCCCTTGACAAGGATTCCGCTTCCGAAATCATCCAGCGTAGTATCTTCGTTGCATTCCAGTACAGCCCACGTTAATCCGAAGACATTTCTAGCGACCTGGAAAGGTTAGTACATCAGCACCCATACTTCGAGAGCTACCCACAAGCTTCAATTCCTCTACCACGTCACGGGTTAATTCCCTTTCCGCTTCGATGATGCAATGTTGATCCGCGACTAAACAAATGAGAACAGCAAGCTCCAGATCGCTCAGCGACTGCACCTTCTCTGTTACGTGATCTTCTGAGGCTTCCATGACTCCCGGAAGCTTGTATAGCTCAGTCTAATCTTGAATCAGATATTGAGGGCTGCGAGAAAGGTTGGCGACTGACGCGTTCGGACGCGGTAGCTGTTCCTGAAGTCGACTTGGAAGAGTGAGCAGGGGTCAAGGGACGCTAGGTCAAGATTAGATTAGGTCGGATACCTTTGCTGTCGCTTGCTGCATCCCGAGGCTCGCAAGTGCTCAGCACCGGAACAATCTCACGACAGCAGGAAGTTTGGCATATATGCATAACACTGCGCGTCCAAAGAAGCAGCATATGATTGTTTTTCTACCAGACTTCCGGTGCACCGAGCTATCGATGGCTATGATCCCTCCATAAACATGCGCTCACCCTCAATGCGCTCCTATCGCAGTTCCCACCACCAACGATGTTCAAGTACTCCGTGGTACCCATTATTGCTCTAGCATCTAATCAGGCCTCTTCTATACTTCCAATCTCTGTTTTTTTTTAGGTATGTCGACCAGACGGAGGCTCTTCCTGGTGTTCGATGTAGTAGTCTTTACTGCTGAAGCGCTCAGTGCAGGAAATGCTTCCACTGCACCACGAGGCTTTTGGCGTGTTGCAAGAGTGCTGATTGGCGACGACGATACCTCTTGACCGTCCACCATACCGTTCATAACGACTTGCTTCGACGTGTGTGGGTTCTTTGGTGTGCTTTGGGTGTCCGAACCACGATGAGGCTTCGATAGATGAGCAGGCTTCAACTTCTTTAGTTGCTGTTCGGCTTCTCGGACTTTTTTCTCAAGAAACTCCTTCTGCTTAGTTGAGCCATTCCTCTCTACAGTCGCATTGTGTAGCATGGCTTGCCAGGTGATAATAAGGCCGGCTAGATGCTGAAGCTCGGCGGCTTGCCGATCAACCGCTGGCCTAGCTGAGATGGGATGGTTTAGGACTGCAGGCTGGCCAACACAATGTAGCTCAGAGCTCGACGTTTGTTGTTCAGACCATCTTTCTTGTTCTTCTTTTAGTGTATCGTAGTCCGCCTGGAGTACTGCCCTCTCGGTTTGGAGCGTTTGGATGTCGTTACTGATTTGATCGTAACCTTCTTTGAAGGCCTTAGCTTCATCATCCCGGTCCTGATACTTCTTTTCCATTTCCAACTTCACTCGCTTGAGCAGTACCTGTTCCCGATCCCCTTGTAAGATCTTGGCCCTCAATAGCTCGTTTTCGTCGAGAAGTTTAGCACAACGCAAGGCTTTCGCTTCCAAATCCTCAAGCCGATCAGCAAGCCTGGCTTTCTCATCGCGCACCCGGCTTTCAACCAATTTCTGTACCTTGTCGTAGAAGCCTCTCTCAAGCCCGCGGTACCTGTCGCTCACAAGTCTCTCTTTATCCGTGGCGTCCCTCTCGGAAGCTGCTAACCTAGCCTCTAGATCTTCTGTTTTCCGCTCCGCGTCTTCAAGCGCGCGTGAAATCTTTGCATGATTCGCACTTAGTTTGTTGAAACAAATCATCTCTTCGTCTAGCTTCTCCCTCACCAGTTTCAGCTCTTTGAGGTCGGATGGCCTGTTCTTCCAAAATGCTTCCATCGTAGACAGCAGCTGATCTGCGATTCTGTCTTGCAGATCATCGATTATCAGGTCCGACGCGTGGTGGCATGTACACGGAGGCAGGTCGTCTGGTAAGAGATGTGCTTCCAATTGAGACAAGGATTTATCGCCGTCAACGTTTTGCTCGAAGTATGATGGGTGAGTACATATGTGGGTCCATTGCTGGAGCCAGACAGCCGCTTTCTTTGTCGCTGCCTCATCGAGTGTGGTACGTATTGTGTTGAGTAGACTTTCCAGGCCGCTGAGCTCGATAGTGAAAACTCCCTCCGTCTTTTGTTCCAATTCCTCAAACGCAGACATGCACTCTGCAAAAGATCTGCATGGCTGAGCCTCTTGCGACATGTCCATGTTTCCCGTTGCGACCCGCAAAGGGCCTACTGATAATCCGTGGCGTCGGTACACTCTTCACATTGAATTTTGAAGGTTATTGATACTCAAGACCGGGTGTTCTCATAGCGCGGCGAGACTTCAGAAGTGATGAGGTGAGCGCTCTTGATGGTATGCTGGGTTGAAGGACGCGGTCGCGTAAGGTTACTGTTAGCGAAGATACCATATGAGTGATGTTGGGTGCCGGATCATTAGTCAAACTGTACAAGATCAAGATTTTAGTCTTCCGAGTATGCACGAGAAACAATACCTGCAAACGATACCTGCAAACGGATAAGTGGGACCGGAGACGCGTATCACAGGTAGACCAACGTGCTTTCCTCCATGAATATCTACGTCACTAGCACGAGTTTCCTCTCACCACACTGCTTCTCGGATCGTTCGCTGCTCTCACTATTGGTGGTCACCACATATTTCTCTCGGTCCTCAAAATCGAGGCAGTAACATGGTCGATGGTCTACGAGCCACAGCAGCAGCTTTTACGCCGCTAAGTCTCCGTAGCGACATAATTCGCCCTCTGGATGGTCAGGAACACAATGGGATTACTCATTACAATTCCATTCCTGCGTCTGCCGTCTTTCCAGTCAGCGACACGCGGAGCAGCCCCAGCATCAAGGTAGAGTCCTGGATAATCGACCTTAAGCTTGAGCTGACAGAGAGTAAGACCAAAATCGACTGCCAGTTGTGCAAATCCGTAGGTCGCGCTCTCAATTGCTGTCGAGCTCGAACAGATGTACAGGCATGCGTGGACTGCGCGGAACTCAGCCAGCTCCTCATGTTTGGAAACAAGAAACACCAAGATGAGATGGCCGCTTTACGTGAGCAGCTTAGGCAGCTGGAAGAAGAAACAGCAGAAGAGACGTTGACCAGGCTATGCGTCAAGAGTGAGACGAAGATTGTTAGACTGAAAAGGGAGGTAGAGAAGATGAAGGCAGAGGACGAGTTAGTGAAGGCCGGAAATGAAGAATTAACGAGGACGTTGAAGAGACTCGAGGTTGAAATCAAAAAAGCACAGCCTGCTGCAGAGTTCACAGTCCGGGAGGGGAAGAGGGGGAAGAGGATGTAGGCAAGTAAGCAGTTGCTGACTCGTGGGTGAAACATGGTGCTTCGTGAATGTTCCAAGAGTTCGGAATGGGTGAAAGGTCAGAACAGCGTGGCCTCTTGGGAGCTGCGGGTGGGAGATTCGCGATAGCTCAGGGACGGAGCTACGGGCTAGCGTGCGCACGGATAATTTCCCCAGCGACACGTTGCGAAAGCTACAGAAGCACAACCCCCTCTCCATCTTCCATCAACTGGCTGTTCGCAACCACCCTCTCCCACCTCTCTTTGTCTTCTTCTTGTCTCTGGGCCATAGATCGCAATCATGAGCGGCCGTAAGTCACGACCTCACCTTTCAATGGCCGCGCGAGGCGTGTGCGCGCAATGCCTGCGAGCAAGTAGGGCACAGAGCAGCACAGCTAATAGTTGCACGTAGTACGGTTCCTCGATCTCGTCAAGCCTTTTGTGCCTCTGGTGCCTGAAATTCAGCTGCCAGAGAGCAAGGTCCCCTTCAACAACCGCCTCGTATGGACCGGCCTTACTCTCCTCGTCTTCCTGGTCATGAGCCAGATGCCGCTCTACGGAATTGTGTCTTCTGATACCTCCGACCCGCTATACTGGCTGCGAATGATGATGGCGAGTAACAGAGGAACCCTGATGGAACTGGGTATCACCCCCATCATCACCTCGGGCATGGTCTTCCAGCTTCTTGCCGGAACCCACCTCATCGACGTCAACCTCGACCTCAAGTCTGACCGCGAGCTCTACCAGACCGCCCAGAAGCTCCTCGCTATTCTCCTGTCTTTCGGCCAGGCCGTCGTCTATGTCATCTCCGGTCTCTACGGACAGCCCTCTGACCTCGGTGCCGGTATCTGCGTTCTCCTTGTTATCCAGCTGATGATCGCTGGTCTGATCGTTATCCTCCTCGACGAGCTTCTCCAGAAGGGCTACGGTCTCGGCAGCGGTATCTCGCTCTTCATTGCCACCAACATCTGCGAGTCCATCATGTGGAAGGCCTTCTCCCCCACCACCATCAACACCGGTCGTGGTCCTGAGTTCGAGGGTGCTCTCATTGCCCTTGTTCACTTGCTCTTCACCTGGCCCAACAAGACTGTTGCGCTCAAGGAGGCTTTCTACCGCCAGAACCTCCCCAACGTCATGAACCTGATTTCCACTGTCATTGTCTTCGGTGCTGTCATCTACCTCCAGGGTTTCCGCGTCGAAATTCCCGTAAAGTCTGCCCGCCAGCGTGGTGTTCGTGGCTCGTACCCCGTCCGTCTGTTCTACACCTCCAACATGCCCATCATGCTGCAGTCTGCTCTTTCTTCCAACGTCTTCTTGATCAGCCAGATGCTCTACAACCGCTTCTCTGACAACCTCCTCGTCAAGCTTCTTGGTGTCTGGGAGCCCAAGGAGGGTTCCGCTCAGCTTTTCGCTACCTCCGGCGTTGCCTACTACATGTATGTCGATCCCTGACTGTACCACAATTTCAGCCGCTAATCATTTCCAGGTCCCCCCCTCTCAGCATCACCGAGGCCCTCTCCGACCCCCTGAAGACTGCCATTTTCATCGTCTACATGCTCGTCGCCTGCGCTGTCTTCTCCAAGACCTGGATCGAGGTCTCTGGTTCATCTCCCCGCGACGTTGCTAAGCAGCTCAAGGAGCAGGGTCTGGTCATGGCTGGTCACCGTGAGGAGTCCATGTACAAGGAGCTTAAGCGCGTCATCCCCACCGCTGCTGCCTTCGGTGGTGCCTGCATTGGAGCTCTGTCTGTCGGTAGCGATCTTCTCGGCGCTCTTGGCAGCGGTACTGGTATTCTCCTTGCCGTAACTATCATTTACGGATACTTCGAAATCGCCGCCAAGGAGGGCGATATGGCCGGTCTTAAGGGCATGGTCATGGGCTAGATTAGTCCAATAGGGATCTCACTTTTATTGGTTTGGACGGAGGATGAGCTGAGGCTGGTGCGCTTCGCCGCACATTGTAACATATGATCTACGAAACAAAAGTTCGCAAAGGTACTGGGCATCACTTGACGTACTGTAGCGTGGCGCCTGGTTAGGCTATCACAGATGCCAGTCCTTCTGTAATGCATCATTGTTAACCCTTAATGTTTTTCAGTTTGACTACTATGTGCGAAAGATGCTCGATGCCTGGGCCCTGGTAAGACTCACGGGTCCAGTGCGCAGTGGACATTTGAGCTCTACTAATTCAGCTTCAGTCGCTTTTTTCCTGCTCGTAGCCTGCACTCGAGTATCGAAGTACACCCATAGCCACACCACAACCCGGTTCGAAAGCCCGCGTCCCTGGATGAACGATGGATCTGAGGCGTTGCATTGGCCAGTTTAGCGAATGCGAAATGTGGCGTTCTACGCTTACGATGCGAAAGTCTGGGCATAGCGGCCCAAAAACATCATCATCTGTGAACTCTGAGTATGTTCAACATGCATGATGTGGAAGATAAGCGAATGCGACAACAACTGCGGATGCGAAACTGGCGATGGCGCGATACATTCACAGCTGCAGCTACTACATAAGACGGCTCTGCCGCTGCTTGAAGCGAAGCATCATCACCATCAAGGAATCTGACCTGCTTCTTACTATCCATCTTACTTCCTTTCAAGAGCTTCAATCGTCATACTCAGTTGTTTTTCCCACATTCAGACATGATATCGAACATGGCAAGCCCGCTCGGTATTCCACTCCCTTCATCGGAATGGAAACGGCAAAACCCACCTAAAGCACCAAACTTTGATTGGGAGATGTACCGTTATGTTCCTTCTCTGGCTGGAGCCATCGTATGCCTCGTTGTCTTTCTTGTAATGGCTTTTCTGCACTTGTATCAGTACCTCAGGTCCAGGAATAGGATCATCATCTTCGTGGTTATCGGCGCGCTCTGTATGTCCTCTCTGTTGCTGCTAGTCTGCCAACTTATTACACATGTACATCATCTGGAGCTGTACCTAACAGAATATGACAGGCGAGGTCGGTGGCTACGGCGCGCGTATCGCATCGCACTTCGACAACGATGCCTGGCCCCAGTACATCACCCAAGGTGTACTGACACTCGTCGGTCCTCTATGGTTTGCTGCAACCATATACATGATGCTTGGCCGTACGATCAGACTTGCTGGTGGAGAAGATGTGAGTCTGATCCCAGCGAGGTGGTACACAAGGATCTTCGTCACCGCGGACGTCACGACCTTGATCATTCAGGGCCTAGGTACGTCGTCTCAGCATACAAAGTAGGTTGAAGAAACTTGGGCTAACAGGAAATAGGTGCCAGCATCATGGGTACGATGCAACTCGCCCTCGCCCTCGCTGGAGAAAAAATCGTAATTGCCGGTCTCGCACTCCAAGTCGCTACCTTTATTGTCTTCCTCATCGCCTCATTCGATTTCCAAATCCGTATGAACAAGAAAGCCGATCATGCATCTGCAGACTGGAAGAAGATGCTTTACATACTGTATAGTGTCAGCGCATTGATTCTCTTCCGCTGTACATTCAGACTCATCGAGTATGCGATGGGTAACGCTGCTTATTTGATCGCTCACGAATGGACGCTGTATTGCTTCGACGCTGTGCCAATGGTCCTAGTCCTGGTGCTGTTGCTGGTCTTGCAGCCAAGTCGATATGTTGAAGGAGACCTGAGGATGGCACAAGCGGACAGCGATGGTGAGACGGCTGTCGTAGACAGGAAATGAGGGTTCTTCAGTGTGCTTGGTCTGTAGTTTTAGCGTGCGTTGAGCGGCTGTCCTGTACTTCTTTTTATATTCCAATCTCCAATATTATTTCCATGTTAATTTCTTCAATCAACATGTGATATGGTTGTCGCCTGGGCGCAGATGTACTGACAGACTGCAGCGACCTGAGCCGATAGAAACGAGCGTAACGCACGTCTGTGGTCGCGCAAACCCTGTAACCTCATAAGACTGCATATGCGCCCCATGCACTACCCAAAGTTGCGTAGTCAGAGGCATATCATATGCGATAGCCCACTCACCTTTGCCATGATGGCATGACTACCCAGACAGACCTTAGGCCCCCACTAAGCGCCACTTAGCCACGCGCACGACCCAGGCACTATTGGACGCCTTACATCCCACCACCTTGTGCCTCCCCGGGATGCCAATCCATCCAAACCATACTAGCTCCGCGTAGACGTAGTTTAGATGGCGCGCCGAAGTACGGGTTTCGTGCCTAAGAAGCCGCATCGCAAGTCGAGGGGCGGATGCTTGACCTGCAAGAGAAAGAAAGTCAAGGTATATTTAATTTTCAGACTTTCCATGTGTGGACAGAGAGTTAATGTAGTATAGTGCGATGAAGCACAACCTATCTGTCGTTACTGCAGTGTGAGAGACCTGAATTGCGAATACGCACAGGACTTCCAGTCGACGTCGAGGACACCGTCTTCAGGACCATCGCCTGGTCACGAGTTTCGATCATCAGCGTACAACAACGAGGCAGATTTCAATGATCTTTCCTTCCAGTTGGCGCCGTGGCTCGTTCCAGCCTCTCCAACATCTATAGGCACCTTTGCACACCTCGATCACCAGTTATTGCAATACTACAAAGCACGTGTCTGGCGCGAATTTGTAGTGCGCGACGACACCGTCTTGAACAACTTGCACGAGAACGTTGTCCCCCGACTAGGCATCTCTCATCCTTTCCTTCTCTACGCTATGCTCAGTATCGCCGCAAACCACAGCAACGAGCTTATGCCAAACAAGACCGTTGAGAAACAAGCACTACTATATCGCCAAAAGGCTTTCTCTTCTTACAAGGAAGTACTCAAAGACATCACCGCAGAGAATTACGAAGCAGTCCTCGTCACAGGAGGTCTTTTCCTCGCTCTAGTCCCACCACCGTCTACCAACAATGACGATGAGTACCTAGAATGGATGATAACACTACTGAAACTAAGCGAAGGACTTCGTATCCTTGCTTCACTCCGATGGGCACAAGGCATGGAGAAACTCTCCGTTTACCCCTTGGTGCGACGAGAACTACGCACTTTGCCACCACCGCCTATCGTTGATGTCGCAGGTGTAGATGCTCCTATCGGGCCCCTAGGAACAACACCCAGCAATCCTAATCCAGCACCAACGTACCCACCGACACAGTTCCCCACACAGACCCGCCTGTTCCTACCTCCACCTTTGATGCAGCTCCTCGGCAACATTGTCCGTGGCAAAGAATCTGGATCTGTTGACTGGCATAGACCAACGCTACTTCCTGTGTTCCACGCTCTATCCCCTATATTCCTGTCCTTGTACTACTACCACCTGAATCCTGATCTCTACGTCCGCATCTTTTGTTTCACGTCGTTCCTTATGCCGGAGTTTCTCCAGCTAGTGCGCCAAAGAGAACCTCGTGCTCTGGTGCTGGTGGCATGGTTCTTTACCTTGGCCGAGTTCGTGCCCAAGGGCTTCTGGGTCGGGGGTAGAGGGCGAAAAATTATTAAGATTCTTGGACGGGAGATTAGAGCACGGTCGTCTAGGGACGATGGATTTGTGGAAGGTGTTTTTGAGGGTGCGCAGAGGATTGTCGATGTGTTGATGAGGGAAGGGGACGAGGCGGCAGCGAAGAGTGTGTTCGAGGATTGGCCTGGCGTCAGTTGGGAGGACCGACCTGGTAGAGATGAGGAATGGGAGTCTGGACTTTTGAGGACTTGGGTGATTTGAATGTTTCTTGGGTTCTAATGCTACAGGCCTTGATGTACAGGAACTAAGCATATCAGTCTGGACATGGCAGTTCAGAACTATCACGCACCAGTTCACTGCAACGTTCTCATTGCCCTATCTCTGGTGTAGTGCCCGCTGTTTCTGCAGCGGCACTCTTGTTTCCTCCTCCTAGTGTTTCCTGGCTCTGCCCGCCTCTTGGCTGCCTCAACATGCAATACAGCTTGATAGCGTCCTTCTCTCCATCTCCATCCCTACATTCCATCTCCCTCGCCAGCCGAAATCCAAACTTCTCATAAATGGCAATATTTGGCTCGCTCCTGCTGCTCTCCAGATAACAGCTTTTCCCCTCTTTATCAGCCATACTCAGAACCTCTTCCATCAAGGCTCTTCCTACGCCCTGACCCTGACACTCTGGCAACACAGTAACGATGTTGCAGAAGTAGTACCCTTTTGGATCCTTCCACAACTCAGACTGCGCTTCCGCCTGCCGGGCTTTCCATATCCAGTATCGCGTGGTACTGAGGCCGCCGCGTCCGTACCACAAATTCATGCGTATTTGGTTGGCCCAGAGATACCAATAGGAAAGGTATAGTGACCAGGACTCGGGTTCTGAAGTTGGCCGGGGTGGAAGCCACATTGCGCAGCCTAGGATCTTAGCGGGATTTGCGGTATCGCGTGCGACGTGGAAGAGGCCATGCTCGATACCCCAGCGGCATCGTAGCGTGAGAGAAACGCGGTTACGCGTTAGGGAGACCTGAAATATAGCTGTTAGTGAGGTGCATGAAGACGGACATTGAGGGAATTACCTTTTCGCGGTCTGGAAATACCCAGTTGTTGTAGGGATCATTTGCGAAGGCTTGTTGTATGGTATCGATTGCGCCGTCTATATCGGCCTCTTTCATGCGCGTTACTTGGATAGGCATCGTGCTGAGGTGTTTGGCAAAACCCAATCCGTTCCTGTATCACGGTACTAGCAGAAACGAAGTGACATGTGCCAGTTTAAAAACTAGCAAGTTTTGAAAACCAGCCATGATGGGTGCGGGGAGGGTTGCGATAGCTTGTCGCATCCAAGATGTGGATAGACGATGCGATTGGGAAGGTCTAAGCGACAGTCACGTGCACTGGGGGTCTTGTCTTATCTGAGCAGGTGCATACTAACCCTCCTCACCAATCCCAACGTCAGCTGTCTTGGCATTGTTACACGGCCTTAGCCTGTTACGATGCCGGCTTTCAGTGATCAATGCCCAGCCTTGATGCCTTGGACCAGTGTAGTAACGCGCCCTAACCAGCATGGAGACCTCCGAAGATTGTACCAACGACCAAGCTCAATCGCGCCCTAACTATCAGGCTGAAAGCGGGGCAGCGCCAGGCCTACCTCACCTCCAGCCGACGGTACCTGCTCTAGTATGGAGTTCAGGCGGAAACCCCATCGTTCTCTATCGCCAAATAGTGCAAACAACCCAAACGAGTGGGTCGAGTTGAATAAGAATTCCGGGATGGGCTGGATATCAAAAATCGCGTGACAGAACTGACAAGCACCACTGAGACAGAATACGGGTGTTGTACGAGCCTGAGCAAAGAGAGACCCTGCTTCGACACTCACTGGAAGACACCCACCATATATGAGAATTCCTGAAATCATAAGATGATCATCCGGAGGTATTGCTTATGCGGTAGACACAGGCTTCCTTGCCAGATCGCATGCTCGACATTTTGTTCAACCACTGCGAGTTTGAGGACGATGAAGGCATGTTCGAGGTGAACAGTTACCTTGGTGATGGAATGGTCGGCGTTGTCGAAGAAGTGACAATACGATCCTGTGAACCGCCCATAGTGTGTGCAGGAAAAAAGATCGTAAGGCCAAAACCGCTCAAACTGCACCAAAGTATCATGACTGCTTTCGTTCGAGAGGTCAGAGTCATAAGTCAGGTCGACCATCGCCGTTGCGTTCGCTTTCTTGGGAGCTATACCGACAGCGAGTCGGTCAACATTTTGTCGACGCCTGTGGCCGATATGGATATGGCTGCCTTTTTGGACAAGCCTATTGGTGACAGGGTATAGAACATCCTCTATAAGGGGATTAATTGCCTTCGTGATGGGTTGTAAGTAGGTGCTTGCCTACCCTTCTATGAAATCGAGCCTCGATCGAGCTGTTTCGTGACTAGCAGTGCTGGTAGGAAGTCCACAATTGGTTTGAGCCTGTCGCTTACAGGATGATCTGACAGTGACGCAAGCTATGAGAATGTCGCCTTTGGGTTTCGCGCAAAACTGGAATGCCCATTACTAGTCCTCCTCCAATGATCCTTGACTTCAGAGAGACTGTGCCCGTAAAGTCCTGAGACCATCTCGACCAGAACACACCCAAGAGAGAAGATGTCGCTAGCTCGGTTCCGGGGCTCAAACTCCAAAACCTCTAGCGCTGAGTATCGCTCAGTCCACGCTGACAGCCGCCCGGTAGTCGTTGAAGCTGAGTCATTGGAGAAGTCAGACTGTGTATTATTAACGTTGGCATGTCGACACCGAAGCAGGAATTTACCTGAACCCGAAGTCGGTGAGTAATATGTCATTGCCATGTATGAGAACACTCTGAGGCTTGATATCCTCATGTCTGGAGAGGTCAGCCTTCTCCATTTGAGGAGCAATATAGTAGACGGAGTCTCATTGGTCATAGTGGTGCATACGTCACAGTACACTACCGTATTTTCTTTCGGTGTAGGTACAGCCTAGAAGAAACAGTCAGTAAGCATAATGTTTCTCATGTACAAGAAGGCAGCCGGTATGTTGTGACTTCACTGCCCTCACTCGACCATCAGCACAAGCTGTGGTTGATAGACTGAGAGCCCTAAGTCGTGTTCTGCCCGAACCTCCTCATCTTGTCAATACTTGTTGTGGGCTGCATCGAATTTAATAGATAGGCTTCACCCCGAGAGCATCGAGGAAAGCGGGTTGCGCAAAACGCGTGATACACAGTGCGGACAATATCTCAGGAGCTACCTTGATGCTGTGCCCGACCAGGAAGGGACTTTATATTGTACTGCAAAAAAAACCTATTACTCTCGCATCCATAGATGACTCTGGCTTGACTGAGCTCCATCCATACACTGTTAATATTTTTGTAGTCAAGGACGCATGCGCGATGCCCTTCCTAAAATTCAAGATGAGGCCAATGCTAAGTCATTCACAAAACCCAACTGTTTCACCAACAATACCTGATTACTACGTGCTGCCGAAAATGGGTTGAGCATATACCTCTCAGCATGTCATGTTCACTGCACTACAAGCAAAGTTTGTACCCCGGTCCAAGTCGTTCAACGCTTCAAAGTCTTGCTACCGATTTACGGAGGGCGACAAAAGGATCTATCCATCTATAGTCGGTCACGGTCGTTGTCCCAACTAATGACGCTATCCTAGTTCGGTATTTTGCGTGCTTGCACTGCGACTAGTGCACGGAAGATACAAACCTTCAGAACTTGACACGGGTTTTGTAGACATGAGCGCAGTACAGGCAGGTAAGAGAATCAAGCGGACCATATCTAAGTGACATCAGGGCGTCTGGAGATACTGCTCAGCTCGAAATCCTCCACGCCGATTCGTCCCTTGTTGGTCATGGTGTTACCAGGGAAAAAAGGACTGCATATGGAAAAAGCGAAAAGGTTCAAGGTTCGTGTTTTGGGACACTTGTCGTGAAAGGAAAACAGGTGACATGGGCATAGCGATTCCATAGTATGAGCCAAGTCGAAAGCTTCTTCATCCATAATGTTTATGCTATACGGCTCAGAAGCCCAGCTATATTGCACATATGATGTATAGGCTTTTTCGTACCCCATAAATCTGGTTGCATAAACGCGTACTTATCTTTTTCTCGACAGCAAGCATAGCGAGTTATTCCGCCAAGGTGTGCCGTATTTTCTTTTCGACCAAGACTTCCCGCTTCCGCGACAACGCTCACACATGTGCACACCCACACATAGATAGTGATGGTTCTATACATCCCAATTTACTCACCGCTCAAAGTTGAACCTCACACTTACACTGTGCTTATGTCAACATGTTCGCGCAAGAACAAGCCCCGCACTACTCCATCTACCCAACGTCTTCGTCATCGATCGGCAGTCCTGCATAGGCAGCCTACCGAACTCCGTCTGATGACACCCTCCCGTGGCGTCGCGAACAAGCGCAAGCGGCTCCGGATGTTGAATGCGAAATGCTTGGGTGGGGACATGTTTTTCGCCGGACCGTTGTTGGATGAATGCGTGTGTGACATGTGTGGCGAGGCGCTGCTTTTGCGATTGGGGCTATGCTATGCCATGCTTGACGGTGGCGATATAATGCGTAAATCGGCCCGCAATGTACACAAAGGTGTATACACCTGATCGGTCGATAAAGACGATCGGTAGGGCTGCAATCAGTAAAAGTCTTGTTGAGTAACCTCAAATGTGTGGTGGAGTTTGAAGCGAATTACGAGCGAGAGAAAGTACATGATGTCAACGTAGAGCATTTGCTCATCAACGATGATCGTGCCTGCGATCAACATGCTAAAGATCTCCCTTAGGCATCGTCCCGAGGTCGTCTATCGCTTACTCTTGTATAGCACCGTCTGATATCAGCTGATTGTTGGGCTGTATGATTCTATGTATCCGGCACTCTCCACAGACAGGAGCTCCTCTAAGGCCATAGACTATGCAAGGACTGAATTTGGTAACGAAAGAACATGAATATAGGTACGAAGAAAAAACGCCGTGTTGGGTACTTTGTGAGCTCCCAGCTTCCATTTGAAGGCACGATTGTCAGTGTTGCATTCGTGTAGCGATGATCCGGAGCTTCCCAATCCCGAACGGTAACCTAACTCCCTCATGTGGGCGGCACAGTAGAGCAGACGGTACATGATGCCCCGGAGTATTTTGGGTGGCATAATTAGGGCGCCTGTTGCAAGACGCATCAGTGCTGCATGTGCCGAAAGGACTAGCGATGTAGAAGCGCGCGGTGTAAAGGACAGTTGGGAGGCCGGGAATCCGTACACGATGTAAGCAACTGATGTAGCACTTCGGCAGCTAGATGTTGAGTTGTTCATGGGTCATCGTGGTACTTGTTGATCAACGGAGAAAATGTATCCTTCACGTAAATGGTCCAAACCACCAGTATGACCGTGTGCAGCACCTGCATGTACCCATTAAATTTGACCGTATGATGGGTGGGTAACTATAAGGGCAAATAGTGCCACTTGGTGTGCATACATGCGACCCGCCTGCGGCTGACAACTCAGTGTTGGGCAGTTAGGCAGCCAGTATTGGAGAGCGAGAACGATCGGAAAAAGCGGAAGCAAAGAAAAGTTGATGAAACACAGCCCGGAAGTTGAGCCACCTGGTTTTGTCGTGCAGGCTGTCCTTGGACGGTCTATTTGGAGCAACTCCAGGACATCCTAGACTGTGGATTGCTGTTAATGCTGGTCGAGGAGGGGTAGTGTTGCGGGCGCTGATGGAGCGCCTACTAGCCGCATCGCCGTGAGAACATCGGTATGCCAAAGAAGGAGCAAGCCGGGCTGGCATGGTCATCAGACAGGTGGTAATGCGGCAAGTCGGGCAACAAGCGACTTGCGTATACTTCACGCAGCGATCAGATCTTTGTCGTGGGCGCCCAAAAATAGGCGTTCAATTTACTGAGGGCCCGCAAATCAGGACCATGCAGGTGTGACCGCTTCTGCGCATAATCGCAGGCGAATAAAGAAGGCACTTCGGGTCGTCGCTCAGTGGTGGAAGCGGCCTTTTGAGATCGCCGCGTAAGCACAATTTAGCCTAGAACATGTCCAGAGTGAGAAGATAGGCGATTTGCCGATCTGGTGAGGTGGAAAAATTCATGGCGCATGCATGGCATCCGTGGACCCGTTTGCACCGTCATACACCTGACGAGGAACTACTTGCATAGGAGCTTCCGTAAGCGAGTCTCAGTTGTCAACTCAAGGATTGTCACCCTCACGCAAAGGACGCCCTTGTCAGCTGTGATGCGCGCAGTAGCACCGAACTTGGGATCGCATTTGACACATCGCCTGATGTAACGGCGGCCGGATGCATGACTGGCGGACACCAAGCTATGTGCTACAAACGAATAGCGACTGCTGTATAGGGTTTCGACTAGGGGTGTGCTGCTGGAATATTAAAGCGGAGTACGATTTCCGTATTGGTGCGTAGTATTACAAGACTCAGATCGGTGGTGGTAACTGTAAAAGGTAAGCATGATGCTTGGAGTGGCCCGACCTCGGATACTCAAATGTGGCAGAGTGCTGATCGAGAAACTTTGCTCTATATTAGTTGCGATACCGACACAAGTTGCAACAGCAAGCGCCTCAATACCACCCTGATTCATGATGATGGTCGGATCCACGGCTCCTTCTGGTGCATTGTCGCTGCATTGAAGGATCAGAGCTATTGGCCTCGAGGCGGATGCAAGCAGAGACTGGACCTAAAGAGGTGCGACAAGCAGAAGGGTCACGGCGAAGCGGCAGAAGGAAAACAAACGCTCGTACTGCGCGTGAAACCGAGTCACCGCCGGGCCCTGGTAAAGTGGAGATGATTTTGCGGAGATGCAGGCTGGCTTCAGCTGCGGCGTCGTAAGACATTTAGCATGGGATCGCCCGATAGGTAAGTTTCATCAGTTGCAGCGCTCGGGTGAAGCGAAGGTACAGACGTGTACATGATGCCCACGGTTGGTCGTGCTCGTGAGGCCGTCTTAGCTAGGTAAAAATGATATGGAAGCTCGCCCGCACCGTCATGGCTTGTCCATGGTGATGTACCTGCAACTTGCACATACAAGCGAGTAGGCGGCGGCGGTGTTGGCATAGTGGCGGTCTGACTGGACAGACCCGTACCCCGGCCACCAGCGCATATCGTATATGTGGTATACCATCTTGTCTCATGGTTGTGAGCCTTTAGCTATTTTCAGTGGGGCATCGGTGTCCGGTTCTCTAGACGTGCGTCACACGCACATGTCGAGATGAGATGCGGTAGGAGGTCGTACCGCTGGTGCCTGTTTGAGTTGTGCAGTAGGACTATGAGCCGGCAAATAGTCAAGGTTGCGTCCAGCACAACTTGCAGCAGCAAGGAGGCTCACCGACGAGCTAGTGTGGCTGCTGATCGAAGCACCCAGGAGGCTTCAACGGAGCACGGCGATTGGACAGGAAATCGTCAACGTTGAGCAAGTGGGCTCTCGAGCCGCCTAGTGAGGCTAATGCTCGCACCAAGGGTAAGGATAAAGTGCCGCCGCGCCCGCAAGAGAGAATTTCACGTTCGCATGGGCCGACAAGGAGTCTAGAACACGCATCACAAAGACAAGCCAACACCTTGCTAAGGATCGTCGTCATCCACAAGTAATGCAGCTACCAAGCCCACAGAATTCTTCCTCATGCAACTTGTCCACAGCGTGCTTCACCTGACGCTTGGTTAAGGCTGCGTGACCGATAATTAACACGTAGCCGTATCAAATCTAATGAATAGTCTTCTGAAAGGCCTAGGATGATGGCAGTGCAATAGACATTCTTGAGAAAGGCCATGTCGTGTCAAGATTACCATGTTATCGACAGGGTAGGGCGAGCCATAAAAGACTTTCTGGGTGGCTAGCTCGCATAGTGTAGGCGATGCCGCTCATACCGCAATTTTTGTTCTGTCAACAGTCTTTGAGACGATGCAGCGCCACGTTTGAGACCCACTCGACTCGTGGGCCACCCGCCGATACGTCATTAAAGGGCTTTTCTTCCCGTGTTGCAGATTGCCGGACTGGGGCTGTCAGAGATGGGCAGCGCTTGGCCTTGACACACTTTGAAGAGTCTAGTACCCGTGCCGCGTCAATCCAAGCGATTTCGCCAGAATAATGCCGGAGAAAGCCTTCTTGAAACTACAGCGTTCACAATCTCGATTGATGAGACCAGTAACGCGCAGCACGGCTGGTAGGCACGGGTTTCCAGATGGTGTAATGTCTGCCGACGCTGTTGTCCCCAGTGCTGCTGCGTGACCTATCACCTCCCGCGGATGAGCTCAAGACAAGACCATGGGAAGATGCGGGTCAGCATTCAGCACCTCGATTCGACGGTTCGCAGATTGTGTGAACACGATCAAGCGACGCTGTGCAGAACAGGTTCCGGTGACAGCTCGGTGCTTACTTTTCCTGTTAACGTATCCGTCTCGTGATGCACAAGTGGCACAGCTACGCCGCAATTTTTCGTGGATCAAAATGACCGAGGCCGTGTGCTGCAGAGTCATACTGGCTGGGTGTGATACGCGGGATGTGCTGAATTACGGGACACGGTGCATTGATTCGTTCCCTGTGGCTCGCGCTAGTTGCAATATCGTTCACTGACGCTCACATTCGGTGCACTTTACTGATGACGGACCTGTGATATTAGTTACTTCTTCTTTGGCACAATAAAGATCCTGCGTGCTGGCGCCTGCACGAGTGTTGCCATGAAAAGCCGCTTCGTGATTGGGTTTCATGTAGTAAAAATGTGTGCCATATTTTTAATGTCACTTGGCTGCAGCCAAGTAAACGTTGACGATCCATTTTTTGCGTGCATCCATGAATGACACCCCATGCAAGGACCCAAGTGCAGCTTTCATATGCTCTTTTTGGCGACAAGATGCAAGCCCCCTGACATGATCCTGTTCGTTTGAACCGCCAAAAACATCCTTGCGCCGCGTTGGACCGCTGCCGATCATTCAGGCGGGACGAGGACAGGGCTGGTCTCTCGGCGCTTCGGCTGCATCTCATCAGCCACGCGGGGATTTTCTCATTTCTGGTTGTCGAACGGCATTACCACTTTGGGCCTGGTCACCGTGGGGTCGCCCAGGGAGGTGTGAAGGCCTTGTCGTTGGAATGGATCATATCAACCCGCTTGTCATCTTGGTTGAGACAGCCGTGCTGCCAATAACGGTAGATGGTAGCGGCAGACTTCTTGAGATGGATCCTCACCACGCAAGCTCGCTGCTTTGTCACCACGGCGCAGCCAGACTTTGTGCTTCGTATTAGTTGCAGCCAACATTTATCGTAATGAACGGATCCACTCCACCCACTGCGACGTTGAACGAAGTACCGGCGTCCTATAATAGGTTTTAACCTAGTGTATAGGCAGACTATTTGCAGTGCTAGACGATCTCGCAAGGAGAATGACATGCCACCATGTGAACGCGCGTATCGCCATGTCGGCCGCACTGTGCCCGGTGGTCAAGACTGCCGGGCGCGATGCAGCGGTTCAGTGTTGACTTGGGTCACAGCGTCTGTGTTTGGATCAACCAGCCGGTCACTCGGTTGTCCAAGCCCGATGTTCGACGTTGGCAGCGTGCACATGGTTTCAAGGCGTGCCTAGGTGGAGCCCAGCGCTGGCCAAAGGTTAAAGTGCTTTTCCTCGGCGCTGCCTAAGTCCAACAAGGGTGTCAGACTCGACACAACCACAAGTACGGGGGGTGGGCGTACTTTAGGCGTAACCCGTCGTGGCGGCACATGTACCCACGCCGGGGGGTCGACCGATGGACAGGCGGCTTCTTGCGTCCGGTGTGCTCATACTGCTCAGGCGTTTGTAGCGTAGTCAGTATGCAAGGCTGATGACATGCCTGTGCTAGGCGAGGGCTCTACGCTGATTGCTCCAATCTCCGCGAGTGGCCCGCCGTTGGCTGTGTGACCTCAGCCAGTGATGCATGTGTCTGATACTGCATCGGTGCACCCATCTGCAAAGTCCCATGTCATCGACTCGCCCGTCCCCGTTGCAGGCGGCAGGGGTTGACTGGCTGCATGTCGATTTCTGGAAGACGCTCGGCTAGGAGGAGGCCAATAAAGCCATCGGAGCAGCGCCCACCCCAGATCGCGCTTGGATACCGTGGGCCAGCAGTGTGGTTTGCCGGCTGCACGCGCGACCAAGCAGGAGGTGCTGGGAGCGGGTATAGTGGACCGATTTACTCTCGCGGGTGGCGGTGATTGGCTGTGCCCACTAGCGTGTCGACTGCTGTGAAGGAGAAGTAGCGCAGCAGGACCCAACCTCGCTTTCCAACCCTTTCCGAAACTACTGCGCCAACCAAAGTTTGAAGCCCCATCCGCCCCTGATCTCGCGATGCTGCTGGCGCCGACACGAATCTCTGCTTGATATGCACCATGAACATGCATGCCTCCCACACCAACGCCCATGTCGCCCTGGAGTATCGCCGGTCCTCTTCCACTAATCATGCTACCCTCAGACGCGGCTAAAACATGACGCTGCCGAGTGCGGGCGTCCTTCAGGCTCCGTACGTACAACAACCCTAGGGCTAGTTGACCGCCTTGAGGGCCACCGCCCCATGCACACGACACTCAACCCCGGTGCGGAGCCCAGCTGAGTCGCACTGCACGTCTGTACAGGGCCTAGTCGCACTACCGCATTCTGCCATCATCGTGGCGGGCGTTGTGGTTCCCTTGTCTGCTCTCCATGAGCCGGCCGTCGTCTAGCTGCACGGATGCTCCGTTGCGCGTTGCGCCATGATACATGGTACGCCTCCCTCGTCTGCCTTCCCTGTCTTGTGATTTGGTCATTCCAAGCGTTCCTTTTCGCTTTCTGCACTATGCCTTTCGTTGATCGTTCCAGCCGTGCCACTGGCCCTAGTCGTCACAGCGCTCCCTCACCGAGCCATCCCTTGGTGGCTCCGTGTAGTCAATACACTCCCGTTCCTTGTCTGCATCTATTCCACTATTAGCTGTTCTTGAGTTTCGCTAGCCTAGCCCTGGCATGCCTTGTACCATGACTCTTGCCGCGAGGTTACGCTACCTCAATTTCCCCATCCACCCTTCCTGATGTGTCTATATCTCTTGGCAGTCCATATACCTATGCAGATGCCCCCAAGCCAGTCACGCTTCCAAGTCAGACAAGAGTGATTGCACCCGACACAACCGCCTACTAGCACACACATCTACAACCCACTCGAGACATCTTCCCCTCCACTGTGTATGATCACTGCCCTCCCACCATACCACCTCGCCAACATGTCCGGCCACATGCAAACCTCACAGCTTCACCGACGTACCTCTCGCAGCTCTGGAAGCCAAGCACCATGCAGATCATCACGCGTTGAGAAGACCAAAAGCCACCACAACAGTCCAAAAGCCATGGAGAGGAGGAAGACTACGACGGAGACCAAGCTTTATGCTACTCTAGACGACCACTACAGGATGATGTTTGGCGTGTCACAGGAGGAGGAGGAAGAGCGGCCACAACAGAGCAGACCTGTTAGCTGGCACCCGTCGTCATCACGTTTCCAGGCTTCACAGCAAACGAATTACTTCGAACCTATGCCCCATCAGCAATGGTCACAACATTATTCCCCATCAGACCGTGACTCTCACCACGGTTCTGATTTTTACTCCCTGTCTACACGCAACTCCATGTTCGAGCCTATGACTGGTGCTTCGACTTATGCCAACACACAGTCAGAATATGGATGGTCCCAACACACTCCTGGCTACGTTCATTCTTCGCTCAACACCCCTTCTACTGAAGCTTTGCCCTGGTATCTGCAGCAATGGGCCCAAAAGAACCAAGCACAGGCATCTTCCAACTTCCTGCCTATTCAACACCCTGCTCAGCAAGATCGAAACATGGAAGACGATGATGGTGAGAAGCTTGTTGCATTGGGCCTGTACGACGCACCTGAGCCATCACTGAGCTGGGGCTCTCTCACCGAAGGAACAGGAAAAGGTCTCAAGCTTGAGGAGACTTGGCAACCACCGGAGGAAGAGGAGGACGAAGAAGAGGATGATGACGCCAGCTCAGAGGCCAGTGTCGAAGAGCCATCTCCACCTCTGCCGGCAGTGCAGCAGAGCCAGCACCTTCCTGTCCACGTCAAGGCTCAAACACCTGGCAACATGGAGGGACAGAGCTTCTTCTTCGACGAGGACGAGTCGGTTACCAAGGAGTGGTGGTTTCAACAGATGAAGCAGCCCACCATGCCGGTGCGGGACGCCGGGCTGGGATATGGATGGCTCTGAGCCGGATCTTTGTTTCAAACGTGCGACTACGATACAGGAGCACCAGCATATTTTTGAGGCGAATTCTTTTAGCACAGCGAGGCGTTTTGCATGGTTCCACTTGGAACCGGAAAAGACTTTAGAGATACCCAGCCTTTAGTGGCAGTAGAGTGAGGCTTTGCATCGCTCACTATGAGGTCAGATGAACATGATGTAGTCAGATAGTAGCATCAACCAGATCAACCACATTACATCAAACTTCGATTCCTTACCCTACTGTGCCGACTTTGATTACCTTGCCTCCATGAGTCATCGAATGGTACATAGGCCTGGGCAGCATCCGAGGTCCACCATCGACGAGAAGGGAAGGTGCTTCCTGCTTCAAGCTGCCCCAGTATTCGCATTTCGCCGTGAGAACGTCAATCCTCGACCTCCACAGCCCACAAGCTTCTTCAACGCTTCTAGCCTTCTCGTATAACCATGGTCCCAACGTACATTTGTCTCGGCGCAAGCCGCCATGTACCAGCCCTTAGTGTACCGAACCCACGTACTCTGTAGTGTGTAAGGCGACCAGTACAAGACACAGCAAATCACACGTCGGCGACATGCCGCCGTCCTCCGGGCCCGTCCTTTAGGTCCTAGTTTGATGCAGATCGGTCAACGCGCAATTGTGTCACATTGCCCGGTAAAGGACCGAAGACTGTAAAATAATCCAGCAGCCTCACGAAGTGGCATGATGGTGCAAACCACGCACCCACCACGTTAAAGCGAAGCGACACTGACACTCTGCAGTCCGACCGATCTTTAAGCCGTTACCCGGAGCGAGCCACGCAGCCCTGTGCGGCAGATTGTGAAAGGTGCAAAATCGTCCTCCACCTCGCTCAGCACCGCTCAACATCGGCCAGACCCGCTTCAGTTGCCCTGACCGAACATCAGAGCACATTCACCCGCTAGGGCCGAAGTTTACCAGCTAACCGAAATGTCGGCTGCCACGCTCATGTTTCCATCAAGGCTCTCACCGGAGACTAAGCAAGTAGCGCGGATTAAGATTTCAGACGAGAAAGGTTCCAGAAGATGGGGTTGCGAGATTGAGTTCCCAGCCTTGAAAAAAAAGGACCTCCATGGTTTTGCCGGGTGGTCTTTGCGTCATTGGCTCGATTCGAAATGTGGTGGTCAAACTCGTAGCGCTTATCGATATGCACACCTGGAAGACTGAGCAAATGTCTTTTTAGTGACGGCCAACACGCGTTCACGTGCCTCCATCTGCAACGTATCGGCTAGCCAATTGCAGACTTTGAAGCTGTCGACTGCACAAACGTGTCCAGCTGCGCGACTACTCGAGTGCTAAATATGGAACCGCATACACGATTTGCTGTCACGGCGTGGCGTGATAGTCAGGAGCTGCTTCAGCTGCGCCAGGACCTGTACAGTCCAGAAACTAGTAGGAAAGAGCAAGCAGTTAACAAGGTAAGCTAAGATGGAATCGCACGACCTACAGGGAATACTTTTTCTGAGGTCCACAGCCACAGTGTGCTGATGAGAGGTAGGTGTTTGCTTGGCGACTACGGAAACCTGATGGATTGCCACTGCTGCTAGACTCGACAGCAGACATTGTGGATGTAGTGCTTCAAGATGCACGGGGCGGTTTGCAACACAACGCACTGCGGCTGCTGTATGCTACTGCGATATCAAGGTAGGTTTGTCGAATGTTGTGATATAAAGAACATCCCACTCCCCAACCGTCTCTCTGTTCTGGATACGGGCGTGTTCAATGTGTCTCTAGAGTCTGCATGCATTCTGTTCTTCTCTCCAATTCGTCCGATTTTCGAATCATCTCTTCTCTCTACGTTTTTGTCAAGTCCATATGAAGCACTGTTCACACCTTCTTTCTAACTCCCAATAGGTTCGTAACCGGCATAGCAGATACGCAAATCGACTTGACCCGCGACCGCCCCTCATGGTTTCCCCCAGGGAAATCCCTTCAGCTCCCCATTACCCTCCTGGAAACCCGCCACCGCATCGTCCACCGGCACCTCCCTTCCCTCGCAGAGCTAAAGCGGGCTGCTACCGAGTCGCTCGAGTGGCTCTGGGAGTGGTACTGGATCCAACTGGACTATGCATTCAAGACCGGCAGTGCACTCGTCGCGGCAGAAGAAGATGAAGAACTCGGTGTCCAGAGCAGGGAAGTGGTGCGAGAGAAACTCCAAAGTATCCTCAAAGCATATGTCAAAGAGCGGAAAGGTGAGATCAAGAATAGGAAGAAAGACGACACCAAAGCTGCCGAAACAGCTCTATCCACATACAACCTTCGTTTTGCTCCTAATGCTACGACGACACCTTCTTCACATACACAACGCGCGCTACTAGAGCTACTAGTGCAAGGGAAGATGATATTACCCACGGATAAAAAGTTGGGCAGTACCATGTCTGGCGCATTTATCATCTGGACACCTTTGTTACGCGCTTTCTGCAGCAGCGTCTTGAACTTTGCGGGACTGGTTGCGCATCTTACAGGTTTCATGAATGCTTCGTCAAGGGAAATGGTGCACCCAGAGATGGATCCTGTTCGGGACGGTCTGCATGAATGGGCACTACATCTCCTCACGTCAAAGGACTGGGCAGCCTTGAGACAAACCGCGAAGAATGATGTTGTGGAACTGACTCTTAGTCACTGTTTCTCGGATCCTACATTTTGGAATTTGAAACTAGCTGACAAGTTACTGGAGAAGGGAAGTGTATCGAATGAGAAATCATGGCGAGCAGTGCTTGATGCTGCTAGGGTGGATGGAACCGGTGAGAAGATGGATGTTGATGTTCAAGTCGAGAGCATTGAGCGGGCCTTACCGGTTAGAGGAAATGAAGGCAAAGAGGATGTGGTCAAGGAGAAGGTAAAGGGGCCAACCAAGATGCTGGGCATGTGGAAATCCAAGCCTATCGGATGGTTGCCTCAGGGTTGGGAGGACGATGAATGAAGGGATCGACCTAAAAGTAGTAAGGCATTCTGTCACTAGGATGCAAATACTCGATTGGTACATGATCTGGGCAGACGTAGTAAGAAGAGTACCCGTCTTTGGGTAAAACGTAGATTGTTCAACCATGTTCGCTACACAATCATTGTCTGTGACCAAGTTTACTCTTTCGGTCACCCGTTCGCATTTCAGTACCTCCCCCGATTTGTTGTAAATTGTAGTCAACTTGCAGACTACACATGTTTCAGTACACATGTTTGCTCTCTCTCTCTCTCTCGATTTTCTAAGGCGAGAAATGGGCGGAGGGGCGCATGGGTGTCTCATGTTTTGCTCCTTGGTCAGGCAACGTGCCTATCCTATCCTTGCTTCTCTTGTTGCCCAAGGTTATATCCAGCCATGCTTCATTCTTTATAACGGACTGAGACCCTTTTTTCTTTCAGATCATGAGATCGGGATCCGGCTGCCAGAGATATAGATCTTTATCCGCAGTCGCCAGCAGGTTGGTCCTCGGATTGTAACCAACAACAGCGCTCTTGCCCTGTCCTGGAAGCTTCTCCATAGGCTCAAGCATATTATTCGGCGTTGGTGGCTTGGAAATGTCCCAGACTAGGAGGCCGTCTTCCCCACTGCCTCCAATCAGGAACTTGCCATCTGGAGTAAGGCACACATCGCCCTGTCCATTTGCCGGAGTATGACCATCGGGCTTTGCGCCCGTGGTATTTGTAGTGGAGGCGCTGGGTGGGAGACGTCCCGAGGAGCCAGTTTTGCGGTAGCAGAAATGTGTCAAGTCGCCTGAGAAGGCGTCGAGGACGAAGTGACCGCTTCCGTTTGTCGCAATGATCAAACTCTTGCCGTCATTGGTGAACTCAATCTTGGTCCAGTCGACCTTCTGGCCTCCCATGAAGCGTTGCTCCATGTCGAGGATGTCGAAGGTGGCAAAGGGCGGCTTGTCGTAGTTGCGCATATCGTAGAGGAGGACGTTTTGTGTAGGTGGTGAGGCGATGGCAATGACGGTGGCAGAAGGATCGTAGGCAGCAAGGTAGGGTCCGTGAAGGTTAAGCAGACCGACATAGTTTGGCGATTGCAGATTCCACAAGCGCACCGTATTGTCTTTTGAGCAGCTTATGAAATCGTCCTTGGACGGACACAGGGCAATGGAGGTGACGGTGTCGCTGTGGCCCTTGAAGTAGCGGATGTACGAGTTGTCGTGTGTGGAGAGGAAGCGGATGGTGTCGTCGACCTTTGTACTGGCGTAGATGATGCTCTGCGCATGGTGACTGAAACGCGCCAGATGCACGCCGTACTTCTGGCTCTTGAGCTCCTTGGCGTGCTTGCCTTCTTTGCAATTGTAAATCTGGAGCGTGTCGTCGTCGCGTGCGACAATGGCTAGCTCGCCCGAGTCGTCAAAGTCGAGCGAGGTGACGGCGGTGCCCTGGCCGCCGGATTTGAAGCGCTGGCAAGTGTCAGTATACTGCGGACATGTGCACCTGTGTCTTGGTCTCACCCTCTGAGGCCGGAAGCTTGTTATGACGTCGCTGACTTTCTGTGTCGGCGGCCCTGCAGGCGGCGGAGGAGGGCCTCCACCGGGCGTCGCTGACCCAGCCATGGCAGTGTTGGTCTCCTAGTCGTGTGCTGCAACAAGTGCATTCATCTCCACCGGCCCAGTGAGCGAATCAGCGCGGGTGTAAATGGGCTACACGCGACGCGACGTGGGACAACTAGAGCCGGCGGAATGCGCTGAAGAGTTGCAACAAAGGGAAAGAAGTGGGTCCAGGCCGTCTTACGTAGCTGCTGATCCCGAGCCGAAACCGGAACGGGTCCTCGATTATTCACTTTCACCATTCCCCAGCATTGCCAATTTGACCGCAATCCGTCTACCAGGCCAGAGTGCGCCTGCTTTCACCCGTGCTCCTAATCCCTACAACCCCCGTCTTCTTCAATCCATGGTTGCGCCGACCCGGGCACTTTTCCAACCAGCTCGCGCCCTAGTCGCATAGAGCTTCACAATGTCTACAACCCTTGGGTAGGTGCTCATCTCCACGTCTTCACGTCACATGCTGTATACTAATGCCTCCCGAACAGCTCCTTCATCGCCGGCGGCATAGCAGCATGCGGTGCAGTCACAGTAACCCACGGCTTCGAGACCGTCAAAATCCGGTGCGCTTTCTCTCTCGAAACGCCTGCGCAACCAGTTCGTTGACGATCGCCCAGTTTACAACTACAAGGCGAGCTTAAAGCGAAGACCGACGCGCCGCGGTTATACAGAGGTGTCTTCCACGGTGTGAACGTCATCTTGAAGAACGAAGGACCAAGAGGATTGCTACGGGGGCTTGGGTGTGCCTACATCTACCAGATGACCTTGAACGGCTGCCGATTAGGCTTTTACGAACCCATTCGCAAGACCCTCACCAACGTCGTCTACAGCGACGCGGCCGTACAATCCTTTGGCATCAACCTCTTTGCAGGTGCTTCATCTGGCATTCTGGGTGCTGCAGCCGGCTCTCCATTCTTCCTCGTAAAGACGCGCCTACAGTCTTACTCACCCTTCCTGCCCGTCGGCACACAACATAAATACAAAAACGCCATCGACGGTATGCGACAAATATACAGCGCCGAGGGCATCAAGGGTCTGTACAGAGGTGTAGGGCCAGCCATGGTCCGCACAGGTTTCGGCAGCTCTGTACAACTTCCCACATACTTCTTCGCCAAGAGGCGGCTGGTAAAACATCTGGGTATGGAAGAGGGAATGCCGCTGCATATTGCTAGCAGTACCGCGAGCGGCTTCGTCGTATGCTGTGTCATGCATCCTCCAGACACAATCATGTCGCGAATGTACAACCAGACCGGCAACCTATACACATCGGCATTCGACTGCTTGAGCCGAACAGTCAAGACGGAGGGTATTTTCGCTCTGTACAAGGGCTACTTTGCCCATTTGGCGCGTATTCTGCCACATACGGTATGATGGCACAACTAGACAAGACAAGCGAACTATTGCTAACCGTCGAGTAGATCCTGACTCTTACACTCGCTGAACAAACCATCAAGCTCATGCGTTTGGTAGAAGACCGGATACTGCCCGCAGAGACCAAAGCGAACATGTGAGTAGAGACTGCTTGGCGGCTGTAGGCCAGACGTACACATTGCCTATACATGCCCGGCGTCAGATACAGCGTATGAGACTTTACGAGACAACATGGTTCGATGCGACTCGTAGGACTAACCGCGAGATGATGGCGGAGCACTTTGTACAAAAGTCGAGACTGTTGAGAAGAAAAGTTGGATAGATACTGACACCAATACCAGCTAGCAGGTGACCACTGTATATTTTGAATATGAGAATATTCCTCGCATCATCAAACTCTTCCGATTTGCATTCCTCCGCGACAGTTGGTCATCTTGGGAGAGAAGCAGTTGAAAGAGCAGATATGGCTGATGCTGACTTGATAGCCAATCGACAAGTAAAAGCCATTGGCCAATTGTTCGTGACACGAATCGGTCGGCTGACTTGTAGTCAGATGAAAGAAGGTCTTGGTATGCAAATCGGTCCATCCTCGTAGGAATGAGTAGCGTGTTGGAGTTCTTTTCCGTTATCCTCTTTACGAACACAACATGTCTTCTTCGCCCGAATTACCTTTTTGGGCAGTATTCTTCACCGTTCAGGAGATACCTGAATAACTGCCAAGAGCGGGACGGGAATGCCCTCTCGGGCCATGAGCGTGATCGTATACTAAGATCTTGACCCACTCGCCAACTGTATTGGAAAACTTCTCCGGCGAATCATAATCTAAAGGAATGTGGTGTCAAAGAGCTTGTCATTGGTGCCTGACACAAACCAAGTTTGCAGTCGTGACATGACTGTGAATGTGGCGCTCATTCGATCCATCGTATTGCTTTTTGTCGGTAAAGAATGAGTTTTTTTCCAACGCACACTGAGCCTCATCCTCATGCATGGCGCTACGAATGCAGTTGGGTCGTCATGCGTTGCGTCAATTTTCGGACGAGGAGCCGAGTTGAGTGCCCCTGTTTACGCACACAAAGCCAGCGCCTGCCTTTCTCGTACCCGGCAAGGCGAGTGTGGAAGCCGCCGATGCGCGAGTTGGAGAGTAGATTTTGATTCTGACGAGGTTAGGGCTCGTGACTACTTGCAGTTTGACGATGATGCTGAGCGAATGAGGTGAGGATGCGTGGATGCGCAACAGTGCGGAGTGCAGGAGATGCTGCAGCAAATGCAGCGTAAGCTGGAGTGCATGGTTGGAGTGCGGGATTGGAGAGCAGGTAACGTAAGTTTGTTACACAAACAGACGAGCAGAGTGTGAGCACGACAGCAAGTATTGCGCTGTCGTCCGCAGTGCGCCGTGGTCCGCAAAGGCGAAATGTCTTCTCCGCGGATCAAGGTACGTGTCTTGGAGGCGATTTAGATGTTTGCAGAACGGCGATCGACTTTGAGGGAAGCGACACACAGCCCGTCTGTTGCAGACGTTGTTACCGCTGAGGATCCGGTTTTACGGGGTGCTGTTCGAAAATGTCGCTCAGAGATCCAGACATATTCGTGATGGAGAGAATGAAGCAATGTGCCCCGCTATTGGACGATGTCACGCCTATGTCGTGCAGCTTGAGGTCGAGGGGAGCCGACTGGTAGCACAACCTCAGGGTTCTCGGATCGTCGGTGCTCTAGACCCTGTCAGGCTATGATTTGGAGATCAGAACTGTCATCATTTGGTGGTTGCGTTTGCTGTACCTTCGGGGCGCTGTCATCTGCTTGCGTTTGACAGGGTCAGCCTGACTCTTCGTGCTAAGAATGATGACATGTTTGCAAGCTCTTCATCCTTGATGGCAAAAGCATGGTGTTGCTGTCGTTGGCTGCAGTGAAGGATTTGTGGCCTGGGCTGATCGGCGTCTCTTGGGGAAGAGCGACAGGGTTCTGGAGACGGGAACCCCTGAAGCTTGAAGCCTCACTTCGAATCAAGTTCGGCCATGATGAAAGCATCTCTGGAGACCTTCTCCGATCAGCGCCCATCTCCTCCTCGTCTGCTCGTGTGCGCCTCTTCTCTCAAACACGAAAAAAATGTCCGCTTTCGCCTCCGAGTTCAATGCTGCAGCCTCACGAACACAGCCTTGACCGATGTCGAGGCAGAATCTTATGTGGTCAATCCATAGAGTGCGTGTCTGGACCCAGTGGCTTGCGGATGCCTTCTCACGTTGTCCAGTAAGATATCGAAGTGGTGATTTCACTAGCGGTAGTGTGGCAGATGGCTACTGGGGTTCTCCGCATCTTGCCCATAGCGCTGGGTCATCCGCTCTTTCCTGCAGTCTCTCTAGCGATATTATTAGCCCCTCTCTGCACCAGACAGAATACCATTTTCATCGTCGCCGACTGCTTACTTTCCCTGACATCGACAGCGCCTCGCTGGCGAGTCCTTTCCTCGTTCGATATTACAGTCAACATCGCGACGTGTGTCACGCGCATGCCATATCCGACATCGTCTTGGGCTCTCAGCGGTGTCTCGTGACAGGTTCCGACCTCGATATTGGACGCTTTGCACCCAAGCTAAGATCCGCCCTTCCCTAGCACAGTGTCGCTGGATCCACATCCATATGTGGATGTTGCGCTGCATCCGCACGGCAAATCACCTCCTCGACAGTTTGGACTAGCATCACCAAACCTCGCCACTGCTAGATCAATACTGGTGTGCGAGAATGCCGGTTCGCATCATCAACTCCATCTTCCGAAGACAGTGCATGAGGTTGGGCAACGGAGGATGATGCCTGGCGCTGCTGAGTATCCCACGCCACACACTCGACGATTCGAGAATTTGCTTCCTATTGAAAGATCAACTTTGCACTTCAGTATCCTTTCACAATCCACTATGAACCTTACTTTTCTGCCTCGCCAACCACTATGTGGATCCAAGAAGCGCACCCGAGCGGTGGCTGATATCGACGGCGAACATTCGTGTGTACAGAAGAAGAAGCGACGACTTCGATTGTTCCTTATCACTTCTCGGTTATCGCCACAATTCTCTTTTCCAGCAACCAACATTGTGGATCGCGGCAGTTCCAAGATCGCAGTATGGGCCAAGCAGAAGGCACTTGGGCGGAACCTGCTCAGGAAGGCCGCCATCCTGAATGGGGTACGCAGACGACTGATTCTGACCAAAGAAGCACAGAGCGGATGTGGTCGTGTACCAGTCGAGCAAGAGAGAGAACAAGCACAACTCGAATTAGCGAGACTGGAGTTCAACCATGGCAGTGTTGACACTTACACCAGACCAGTGTTGTCGCGAGATCCGTCAGTACCACCCAGTGCTGCTGTGAGGACTGGGGGCCACTTTGTAGTCTCTGGATCGCCTACAAACTCTCCGCCCTCATCAAGAAGTCCTTCGCCCACCTCGTCTTCACCAACAACAAGGGATTCCCCTGATGAGGCTGCCGTCTTCCGCTCGCCAAATGAAGCATGGTCTCACTCCGCGAGAGATACGACATCACGCCGAGACTACCTACCTATGCCGCCATCGCCACTTGGAATCTCGAACTATGATGCTTTTGATGGCGATGGAGATTCGTTCGACCCGTATGCTCATCTCGATGACGAAGACGAGCCAA